AAAAAAAATGTTTGCTTAACGTCATTTGCCAATACGGTCGGTTGACTTTAAGCAGCGTTAGCACTGGATTAAGAAGATCGTGCTTCTTTAACTTTCCTCACAGTAGACTACTAACAGAGCGAGACGGAATCACTGCTGTATTACTTAAAAACATCCCAGAATGCATCTTATTACCCGGGAGAGATTCCTTAATGCGTGCTGTAATTACGTCATGTTGCATGGCCTATGTTTAGTTGACTTCTCAGGCTTGTCGTCTAAGGGACAAGAGGACATAGTTAATTGTCCAGGATTTACAGTATTTCCATTGGCTGTTGGTCACATATCAATTAATTGGAAAATGTCACTGCAGCTGTGTAGCCTTGACAAGATGTCAACAATGCACTAATATGTGGATTCCTCCCGAACTTCAGATGGACCAGCAGGACCAGTCCTATATGTTTGCCAGTCTGAAGCGGCCTCACTCGGAGCAGTTGCTGCAAGGCCTCCAGCTCTTGCGGCAGGATCACGAACTATGTGACATTGTCCTGCGCGTGGGTGATGCCAAGATCCACGCTCACAAAGTAGTGCTGGCCAGCATCAGCCCTTACTTCAAGGCCATGTTCACGGGTAACCTGTCGGAAAAGGAGACCTCCGAAGTGGAATTCCAGTGCATCGACGAGACTGCCTTGCAGGTATGCTTGGAGCCAGCGGACACGTTCCTAACGGCTGTACTGTAGTTTTTGGTGTTTATGTGACGCTTTTACTCTCTCTTCCAGGCCATTGTTGAGTATGCCTACACCGGCACGGTGTTTATCTCCCAGGAGACGGTGGAATCTCTGCTACCGGCGGCCGACTTACTCCAGGTTAAGCTAGTACTTAAGGAGTGCTGCTCCTTCTTAGAGAGCCAGCTGGATGCTGGAAACTGTATAGGCATCTCCCGCTTTGCAGAGACATATGGCTGTCATGACCTGTGCCTAGCCGCAACTAAGTTCATCTGTGAGAACTTTGAGGAGGTTTGTCTGACGGAGGAGTTTTTTGAACTGACGAGGGCGGAGTTGGATGAAATCGTGTCCAATGACTGCCTTAAGGTGGTCACAGAGGAGACCGTGTTTTACGCCCTGGAATCGTGGATCAAATATGACGTGACTGAGAGACAGCAGCATCTGGCTCCGCTGCTGCACTGTGTTCGCCTTCCTCTACTCAGCGTCAAATTTCTCACTCGCCTATATGAAGCCAACCACCTTATACGAGATGACCACGCATGCAAACACCTGCTCAATGAGGCCCTCAAATATCATTTTATGCCAGAGCACCGGCTCTCCTATCAGACTGTGTTGTCGGCACGGCCACGATGTGCCCCGAAGGTGCTGCTTGCGGTAGGAGGCAAGGCCGGACTGTTTGCGACATTAGAAAGGTAAAAAAATTATAACTAGATAATCATTTTAAGCAACTTTCTAAATGCGTTCTTTAAACAAACGGACTGATCTGATAATATCTGTCTCTCTCTCTCTCTCGCTTGCAGCATAGAAATGTATTTCCCTCGGACGGATTCATGGATGGGACTGGCCCCTCTCAGCGTACCCCGGTATGAATTTGGAGTGGCGGTGCTGGACCACAAGGTGTATGTGGTGGGAGGCATCGCCACGCACATGAGACAAGGCATTAGCTATCGGAGACATGAGAGCACAGTGGAGTGCTGGGACCCCGAAAGCAACACCTGGTCCTCGGTGGAGCGTATGGCCGAGTGCCGCAGCACCCTCGGGGTGGTGGTGCTGGCGGGCGAGCTGTACGCCCTCGGAGGCTACGACGGCCAGTACTACCTCCAGTCGGTGGAGAAGTATGTCCCCAAGTTGAAGGAGTGGCAGCCCGTGGCGCCCATGACCAAGTCCCGCAGCTGCTTTGCCACCGCTGTGCTGGATGGCATGGTGTACGCTATCGGAGGCTATGGCCCAGCCCACATGAACAGGTAATACCGCGGAGAGTGGATATGATCTTTGTTTTTACCGGTATAAAATTTACTGCAAATTATGGGCTGTTGAGCATTATGAATGGGAAATATTTAGTAACTTAATGTATCTAATTGATTTAGGGAACATGTATGAAAGTGTCACAATCAGTTTGGACAGCAGCAGATTCAACGGGTAGATTAGATGAATCACTTTGTTTTCCGTGGATTACACAATTATTAGCGAGGCGTAATTAATCATTCATTCTGTAGCTGCTGAGTTCGATGTATAAGGTACCGCTCTTTGCCTCTAACTGTAACCTCTTTTATTGAACTTTCTGTGTAATGTCGAAACTGCAGAAAGCTACATAGGTTCCAAATATGAAAACAAGTCGTTCTTTGCTCCTAAAGATGACATCTGTTCAAAATTATCCTTGATTTGAGGGAGAAGCGTGTCGATATTTTAGGCCTCCTAACCTGGTTTTCTTTCTCACGGTCTTGTTAGTTATTTAATAGAGCTAGTAATCAGGTGGAAGATGTCAAGTGTTGCTGAGAGAATGGCCAGGGCCCTGTTAATGAGTGAACAGGAGTCATAGGAGAAGTGGTTGCTGAAGTTTCATAGAGAGGGTGACTGTGCTGCTTGGTAGACCTCTGTTGTTGCTGTGGATCTCTAGAGAGCAAGCGTCTCTGTTGCTTGTTTCCTTGACTCCCGAAACCCCTCAGGAGAATGTGTTTGGACAGAGAATCTTTGGGGACTATTTTTTTTCTTTCTTTCCCCAATGGCTTATATGTCCTTTGCATACTGCAAAACAATCCCTGATTGCTAGCGTTCCAGTTGCTGTCAGGGGGGTTCATTTCTCTGGTGAAATTTGGCAATTCACTGCCACCATTGGTGATCAGACCGCCCAAACTTTAGTCTTCTTTGTAGCTCGAAAAAAATACCGATCCAATGAAGTATTGTATTTAAAAAAATATATATAATTGGCATGTGAAGTAGGTTCCCTGCTCCTGAAATACATCTTTTGAAGGAGTAAGTGTTTTTGCATGTTGTAGACAAATGACTACAAAGTGCATACTTAAAGGGAAAATTGGCACCTTTTTTTTATGTGGATGTCCAATCAGTGCTGATGGGTAATGTAGTCCACTGAAGAAAAGAATTCCCCAGTGCATGTCGAGGAAACTGATCTCTCCTGCTGCGGAGCCGTGCCTGCATGTACCAGGATGGATTGTGTGCAAGCGGTGACTTTTTTGCGTTACACAAGCTCTCATATAGACTGACAAATACACTCACAAAACGCCAATAATGGAAATAATATTTCACCCAAACTGAAAAATACAACCGCACACCTTCTGAATTCAAGTTTCTCTTTAAAACCAAATTAAGACGGGCTTAATTTTCCCTTAAACAATGCTTTAGATCATTTTTTGAGATGGATATGGTTTCACTTATGCCTGTGTATTGTAAGAATAGTTTTTAAATGTGTACGTGTTTTAATTGTGCTTCATCTGATCCGCACAGCGTGGAGCGGTACGACCCCAGCAAGGACGCCTGGGAAATGGTAGCCCCCATGGCAGATAAAAGGATCAACTTCGGAGTAGGCGTCATGCTCGGCTTCATCTTTGTGGTGGGCGGACACAACGGAGTGTCGCACCTGTCGAGCATTGAGAGGTACGATCCACATCAGAACCAGTGGACAGCCTGTCGGCCAATGAATGAACCTCGCACTGGTGAGTTTACGTCATACTTCAGCTAAAGTTCCCAATTTGCACGATATAGAAATTGTTTTTTGGGGACCCCCAGTGGTATTTTATAAGGAGACGACATGTGGAGGCTTCAATGTAATCTCTTGTCAAACCTATTGAGATAACTGCTTCCAGACAATAGTGAGAAAACTGTGTAATTATCTACAAGTGACACTGACGTCGTCTTGCAGGTGTGGGCTCTGCCATTGTTGACAACTACCTCTACGTGGTGGGCGGTCACTCCGGGTCGTCCTACCTGAACACTGTCCAGCGCTATGACCCCATCTCGGACAGCTGGTTGGACTCGAGCGGCATGATGTATTGCCGTTGCAACTTTGGTCTGACTGCCCTTTGACCCATGGCCCAGCCAGCTAGGACCCAATAAGAGCACTTGGACACAAAGACATTTCTTTTTTTGTTGTCTCCTGCTCCTCCTTCCCCACATTCATCCTCCAGGTGCCGAGGAGCGCTGCACACCTACGTGAACACCAGAGGAGAGGGAGCGAGAGAGAGAGCCAGCCTGCTCTGTGTGGATGGATGTGCCGGGCTAGCTGGCCGGCTAGAGACGGGGGGTACGAGACCACAGACATGGCTGCAGAGATGAGAAATAGCCGCAAAGTTGTGTGGAACAGAGAGGAAGGTGATTGGACAGCTGTTGTCACGAGGAGACGACCGCTCTACTGCTGCTGGACCACAATGAGGACTCTGAGCCATTTCCCAGAGGACTGTGGGAGAAAACGTGTCACTTTTTGTTTCGAAAATTCTGTTATGTTAGCAGACATTTTTCCTTCATGCCATCAATTGTGTTAAACACTCAAATCCTTTTTTTTTTTTTTTTTTTTTTTAATATAAATATAATTTCCCTGCTGCAACTGAAACCATGTGTTCAGATTTTGTAGACCACTGCAGTTTGCTGGTGTATTTGTATGAATATGTGGTTGTTGGCCATGTAGTGCGTATGTCCGTGTGTATGCTTGAGGGGTGCATGCATGTCGGATAGGATTGTTTGTTTTTGTTACGTGTCGGGGTGCAGAGCTGATGGTCAGCGGCGCAGCTGTTCTGCATCAAAATCAGTGCTTCACAAAAAAGAGAAAAGTTAAAATCTTTATATTTTCAAAAAAGGGCTGCCTTTTTCTCTCTTGTAAATAGTCTAAATAGAAATATATTGATATTAATATATCCTCTAGTGTGTGTGTGTGTGTGTGTGTGTGTGTGTGTGTGTGTGTGTGTGTGGTTTGAGTCCATGGGTCAGTGTGGAGGTGAGTTCTCCTGGGATTGATTGTCACTAGTTTCTGCTTCATCCTCGGAGAAATTTAAACCCCCCCCCCCCCACACGTTCTTGCTTCTGTTACATCTTCCGACGGTCAGGTCACGCACTTGCTACTCTTCACAATAGTTGAAATCGACCGTGGCCCTCTTTTCACCCTTTGGTCTGTACACAATACCAACTGGTGCTATATTTAGGATTCAGCTGTTTGTCTGTGTTGCCCTCACGCAGTTAGGTCAACCTCTGCTACGTTACTGCGTAAGATGTTTGTTATTTGATTTAAGCGCGTGTAATTGAGGGAAGGTTAATGGCCAACCATGCAATAAAACTGAAATGGAAGCCTGTGGTTGGAAAACCACGAAATTCTGTCCTCCGTAAATATCTAAAAAGAAAATAAGCTCTGTCTGGTTTTTTTCCTTCTTCAATTTAAAGTATAGCCCAGTTGCTAGATGTGACCATGCTTTGTCATTGTCTTAATTCCCGTTATACTGTCGCTCTCTTGGCTATGAACAAGACTTTTTATTTTGCCTGTGATTGGGGCTGACACCTGCTATCAAACACGTGACCCTCATGTAGCCACGGTCTTGAGGTGATCTCTTCACAGCTTCATTGAAAGTGCCAAAACATGACTTATTCATTTTTTTTTTTTTTTTTTTTTTTTTTTTTTGGGTGCATCATTCTCCCACCTCCAGTGCTAGAAACAGCTTCCTTCGAGTGCCACAGTTAAAACATTTTCTTCTTGTCCTTATTGCTAATGTATTAGCATGACGTTCTTCCATGCTGTCATTTGGAAGATGGACGATAAAGCACCGGTGGCTGTGCCAGCGAACTCGGGCTGTGTTCCCACTGTCACCGAGTCCCAGGACACCTGACCGAGTGCTCCCCTGGCTGTGCTTGACTCCAGGCTGGCTGAGGGTGTCACTGTGCAGCCTTGGGGTCAGGCTAACAAACCGGTCAAGCAATGCACAGCAATAGAGGGGGCACTAGTCTATGAAAGGCCAGGTGGGGGGGGTGGTGGTGTCTTGTTTAGTCACTGAAGGTTCAAGTCTAGTTTGAGTTTCTCTGTGCACTGATGTTTGCACATAAGTGGAAACTTTAACCAAGCTCTGCATTGCACTTAACAAACTATTTGATACATATTGTCATTTGTACATATGTTTTGATTTAGGATAACGGCATTTAGAAAATGCAATAAGACTTCTGTTCTGTCTGTGGATGAATATGTTTCTCTTATTTTTTATTTTTTAAAGCCAAGGCATCTCATATTGCTGTAACAGAACCCAACATGGCATGTCTGTTGATTCACACCGTTGGCTGGTGAAGTGGGCGTCTGATGAAACATCAAATGGTACCATTGACTTTGCCTCATCCCACCAGACTGTGTGTTGTGTTGTCATTTTGTTGTGCATGCTGGTTCATTTGTACAAGGCATATGTTTGAGGTAGATTCAGATGGATTTCTGCATTCATTATAATTACTAGCCAAACACGACGTAAACACCGTTTTTAATAAATTCAGCTATTTTCACCACGTATATAAGTCTTGTGAACATCAGACAAGACGTTCTCTCTTCTGCTCTAAACTGTGTTTTTTGGAACATTAGGGAAACCATTGATATAGACGAGACCTTAAATGACATTTGCCTTGCAAATGGTTCAGGGTGTCACCGGTGAGACGTTTAACTTGTTGCAGATTGTTCACCATATAGAGTACTTTCCTTAATGATTTCTAGTTTATTTAGAAAAGAGTAATGCATAAGCAACCAAAACGTGTTTCTGCAAATGTGTCATTTTGTTTTAGAGAGTTGTGACTTTTATTGTATTTATAATTATATTTTGTACTGTTTTATGTCCTGTAACCTGATTTTGTTTTGCTAATTATGTCTATTGTACTAGATTTTGTTAATCACTCAACAGCAACAGCACAAATCACGCAGGCGTAATTATGTGCTGCAGCCATGATTCACCTAGCATCTATGTTGTGTACCGTCACCGTTTCTGAGGTGTATATTTAACAACTTTAATGAATTTTGGAGAGCTGCTGATTAAAATCTGCAAACGTGAATCTGCAAAAAGAAGGGATGTTAGAATTGAGTTTGTATGCATTTTCATTATGGCCTAACCAATGTCATGTATTTGCCACCACTCTCACCAAAGTGCTTGTTCAAAGAAAGCAGATGGATGACTAAGACCTGGTCTGCGATGGACTGCCACTCTGTTTGTGTCTGAAAGAAAAAATCCTTTGAAACTGATGTCAATGTTAGCCAAATGACCACTCTGCTTCTTTTACATTTCCCATTGTGTGTCTGGAGTTAAGGTGATGATCTTGAATTTTATATCCTGTGGATTATTACTGGAAGTACAAGATAAACCTTTTAGGTGTAGAAAACGGTAGCTTTTCACATTTTCTCATGTTTTGATTGAAGACATTTTACATACATTTTAGTCAGTTTGTGTGGTGCAGTTGTACCCAGTTTAAAAATAAATGCCTGCCTTAAAAGGTACCGTCTGCTTTTATGTGGCTCTTGTTATATACATCCATGCAATGCAAGTGCGACAAAATAAATCAATACAAGCGTATGCCAAAATAGTTGTATTTGTACTCTGCATAGAAAAAAAACCAATTAAAAAACAAGGATTTACACGGGACAGGATCCACTTTCACACTTTCCTTGGGCAGAGGCACTGTGTGATACCAGTTATTATTCAAGGTTAAAAACTATTGTAAAAAACAAGATTTAAATATACTTATTTCCTGTGTTGGTGACCGCAGTGTGCGCGGAGCTAGTGTTGAAATGCTTGAATTTATCAGTATGGACAGTTTTATTTAGGCTCGTGAGGAAGATAGATATTTAACCTTTACATATTTCAAAAGGGGACGCTTTCTGAATCATGTGTTACGATCAAGGCAGCCCACAAAATAAGGAATTTTGAGTAACCAACTAGAATCCAATTATATGTTAACAATTACTGAAAATTAGATTTTTTTCATGATATGCCCCCTTTAAGAACTTTGTACTTTTAACATTCATTCCTTGTAATAAATGCTTGCCTCCAATTCAAACATCTTAAGAAAAAAACAAGTTAACCTGATATGGATGTTGGTTGTTTCTAATCCTCAGACCACAGTGTGAATAGAGAAAGCACCGGTTTAATTAAAGGAAAGGGTGGATCTGTATACATGTACAATTAAACTGCCGAAATGTATACAGCCATCTCCTATACAAGGCTGCTTAATATAGCAAATGCACCCTCAGAGTGTAATCCATCTAACAACCGTGACGTATAAATTACGTCAACCTCTCTTGTGTGCCGGCTAACTGCGTATGCATGTGATGTGCATTACTCACTGCCATTCATTATCATAGAACTATTATAGTCCATTATATTCTTGGATTCCAAGCATGCCCCCCCCCCCCCCCAAAAAAAAAGTTGTTTCAGGTGAAATGGAGCATATGTCATACAGAACGCACAGCGGAAGCAACAGCTGAAAGGAATTAAGAAAACATCTTTAAAAAATTAATTATGTGATAAGTAGACAAACATGGTAACAACAGTGAAATGTAATCCATGGGGTCGTGACAACATAATCATAGGATGGGTGGATGAACGAATGGTCCTCTGGTGATAAAAAAGGAGTTCACTTGTCGGAGGAGCGGATGTAGACCAGAGAGGACAGCAGCAGGAGCTCTGGCGGCTTGTGTAACAGGATCAGGTTGTCACTCCTCAGACCATCGTAGTGCATCCAGCAGCCGTCTATCTGGAAGGCCGCAGAGTAGTGGTGCTCCTCCTTGTTGAAGAGTGTGGCGCCCTCTAGTAAGTACCTGTGGAGAAAAAAAAGAGCCATTGACAATGTCCAGGAAACTCAAAGTGAGAGTGTAAATAATTGCGAGAACATCTTTTTCTCTTTTATCCGAGACAAAAAACAGGCAGGAGTAAGAAGTTGCAGAAGAATCTTTTTTTCTCTAGATACTTCATCTTGCAGGTGCAAAGTCTGTAGCAAGAAACTTTTTTATGGCAGGTTGAGCTCCAATTAGCCAGTTTTCTTTTTTAATAAACTCTTTTTGTTTACCAATCTGGAGAAAGTCATCCTGACTGTATCTCTTGTTGACTACCAACACAGTGTGGCTCAAGCATGGTACTACTTTAAATGTACACCAAGCCAAGAGAAACACATGGTGGAAGCTCCATACCTGTGCTGGCAGAGAGCCAGATGGTAAGGAACATAGGACAGCTCCTCGGACTTCCACTGCTGCATGTTGAGGATGACAAAGGGTGGGGGTCCGTGGCAGAAAACCCGCTGAGAGATCTCCCTTAGACCATCACACCTGTTAATAAAAAAAAATAAAGATTATCAATTTGTCCAGGAAGTGGAATACGACTGAACCGAAAGAGAGGATGATGAACCCCCCCCCCCCCCCCCTCCATGCATCTCACCCCAGTTCTGAGCACAGCAGCAGTTTGGGGCAGAAGAACTCGTCGGCGGCCGACTGAATGGGGTCTCTGTGAGGCAGCTCATGAGGAGGGCTGGAGGAAATAAGTGACAACGACACACCGTGAACTAGCACTGACCTGACCTCTAACAAAGACAACTTAGATTTGGACATGTGGGCTTTTAACATGCGTACACATAAATAGGTGGAGACAGCGATGCATGCACTCTCTTCACGTCACTTCAATTAGACAGGTGACAGTTTAAAAGTTAAATATGTCAAATGAAACACTTTCAAGGATGGAGCTGGCAGAGGGGGCATTTGATATCTGTCATCATTTGAGAGCAACACTAGATGAAGACAGATGTTGTTGTCTTAAGTCCAGACACACAGAGCCTCTGCGTAGTTGCATCAAGTTCACTTAGTAACATCAGGATGTGTTTACCTGATGTTGATGGCCGTCTTGATGAACTCCTGGAAGCGGGCAGGGCAGCTCCAGTTGGTGCACAGACTCTCCTGCATGGTGGACATGAGGTTCTCCAGGTTCTCCGTGAAGTTCTCGTGCTCGTTACCGAACAGGTCGATCTCCAGCGCTGCCTTGCGTATCTCGGCGCGGTACTGCCTTCTGGACATCCGGTCCCAGATCCACAGCATCTTCACTGTGGTGTAGTCGCAGGAGTCCATCAGGCGGAGGAAATACTCCACGAACTGCTTGCCCAGGAAGACGGCCAGCTCCCGGGGGAAGCCCTGGTTGTCCCGCAGGATCACGTACAGGATCACGAGGAAGCCATCGATGGTGCAGGTGTTTTTTAGGTGGATCTTGACGTACAGAGGGGTGCATGATATGGCCTTCCGTCCGGCCTTAATGGTGAAGACGCCCCCCCCAGGGCAGCACAGGCCTCCAGAAGGAGCGGTCCTCTTCGTCATTGTTGTTGATGGAGGCACGGATCTCTTCAAACAGTGTCTTGGACCTGAAGAGACATATGCGTTGGAGTTAGCAGAGTGTTAGAGAGAGGCGGCATGGGTGCGTTTAGCTGGAAACACTGACGGAGTTGGGGTGTATCATGTTGAGAGACGGCGGTTATGCAAACAGATGTTAGCTCACAATAACAACAACACAAGCCACGCAATGACAAGTAGCGTCCAGTTGTGCTCCAGGGAATAGACGCAGCCCCGAAAGCCTGCTAGCTTAACACATTAGCAGCTTCTATCAATTTACCTTTCGAAGTGGAGATTGTTCTCGGTGTTCGAAATTAGCCTTTGGAGGTCTTCGGTGTCGCTCAAAACACAGAATCTACTCTCCATAGCTCCCTGTGTTTCTTCATGTCTTACATCGGACTTAAAGCCAGTTCAGATATCTAAGTACAGTATTTTCTAGCACTTTATGGTGATTATCAGAGTGAATACGCCTGGACAAGGATCAAAACAAACCCTGTCCAACGTCAGGTTGGGCCCATATAAACACTGCTGTGTTGTTGTTTTTTTTAAGGAAAATATAAGAGGTGTGTAACTAGAGTGCTGCCCTCTGCTGGCTGTCAGCGTAACGCCACCCTCTGAAGTCCCGCCCATTCCAGCAAATCTGGGAATGCTATTGGTTTTGAGGTTCTAATATGTAATAACTGGTATGTGATTGGCCGTCAGAGTTGACAGTTTGTCAGTAGCCACGCCCTTCGTCCGCTACGTTCTACGCTCTACGCTACTCCTGAAAGTTAATACGCTGATTTTCAGCCGTAGCGCTGCATTTGTGAACGCAGCTTACATCACCACCTTTGACTCCCTACGCCTTTTTGAACAAACTTAATTTTGGTATTCCTCACCGCGCTACCTCTTCTTGTCAGGTGACTAGAGTGTGCAGGAGGACACCAGCACGTTGAACACGGACTACCAGGAACAAAAGATGTCGGCTCAAATCATAAGCGGGAAAGACGTTTCAGCGTAAGTCTCAGAAATAATCAGCACGTGTATGCAAGTAAAACCAAATAACGTGAGGTGTAATAAGCTTGAGAATGTCTGCGTGTACTGGCTAACAAGTCCGCTAACCAGCCATCTGAGTTTACGGTTACTTGTATTCTTGGTTGATTGTCCACCATGCGGTCCACGTGAATTAAGTTAAGCGTGCCTGCAGTTATTACAAGTAATAACATAGTTAATAACCAGCTGATACCTCACAGTGGACTCATTTCTCAGGTTGCATGGAGTATTTGTTTCCTGACGGTTATGCAGATTAGTTTGAATGCACCGACTCGTGACTGTCACATTTATAATTGTGATTGGTGATAGTCCATAATGATTGTAAATCACCGCAGCATTATGTAAGACTCTGGTGGTGTGATGTGATCTTTGCCCTCTTGGTCCAGTGAACTCAAGTGGCTGACAAACACTCATGAACAATCCTGCGCGTGTCACCGTTTTCATATTTGAGTACAGTCTGCAAGTTAGTCCAAAGTTTGGATGAATCCAAATATTGCTTATTACCAAAAGATTGTGAGAATGCATTGGGCAAAGAGACAAAAACCTTTAACTTAGTTGCGTGTGCTTGTCACAAGACATGACAGCCTGCCCCCTGTTAACTGCCCCTCACAGCACTCATTACAGTTAATTACATCTACAGATCTGCCTTTAGGAGGATGATTTATGTTCATTTCCTCTTTAGCTTGACTAACTCTGACATACTAATGAATGCTCTAGACACGTGACCTTTATGGACAGAGGCTTATTGATCAGTTCACAACCCGTCATCCTAAAGATCAAAGCACAACAGTACTTTCTATTGTCTGATTGTTTATAGGAATATGACCGTAGTTGATCAGTGACTAGGATTTCAGATATCCCAACATGCTGTTGTATCATCACATTGTTAATGTTATCATGCACTATATTAATAAGGCTATCGGAGCACACTGGATATTTGGACAAAACATTTGGATAAAGCTTTTTTAATAATCATTTTTGTCAGGTCACCGGGGCAAAAACACTCAGAAGGGACTTCAAAAGGTAGTTAAAGATGGTGTCACGAGTAATCACGTGGTTTATTCCGTCATCAGCGCCGATGAAGTTCATGTGATGCGCAGAGACTGTGTTTCAATCTAAGTCTGTGTGGTCGGTCATCAGTCTATCTTTAGAGCTTTTTAAGGAAAACAGTGGACGAGATCAATGGAGCTGATTTGTTGTTTGATTTATTGTGTGAATAGAAAAGAAATGCAGCCAGGGCTGAGCTCTGTGTAGACAGACCAGCTAGATCTTAGAATAGATTTTATTAAAGTCTAACTTTGTGTCACCCTTCTCTTGTCTTGTCTTCGTTTAGCTGAGTCGACTAATCTACTGTAGTATGTTTTGAGGGGGAAGATAAAACTCCAAACCATTAAACAAAAAAGATAAACGAAGATAAGATTCTCATTGTCCTGAACTGACTCTCTGATGACTTGACTTTGCATGTACAGTGGAGCTAACCGGCTGAAGAACGGTGAATGCTGTCTAATGTCCCGACGAGAAAGCCGGATGTCATGTACTTGACTCTGTAACTGTTGAAAGGGAGTGGAATGGGTTGGTTCCTTTTTACAGTGGTCCACCTGTCGCTGCATAGAGACCTAATAATCCAGCTCTGTTTCATTCTGTTGTCTCGTGTTCTCAGGCAGGTGAGGGAGCGTCTAAAGAAGGACGTGGAGCAGATGAAGCTCCAGGACCCCAACTTCACACCTGGTCTAGTGGTTTTACAGGTAATTGCAAGTTTGGAACTAGCATGTGTCTGGACAAACAAAAGCACATTTTGGGATGTTTTGTTGGCTAATTTTGCCGTGTGCTTTCTCGTGGCCTTCCCCTGAAGATAGTGGTCAGGTAAGGAGTTTGGTAACATGTGTGCCATTGTGTGCCCCTGCATGGAGTGTAGAAACGTGTTCCACTGAAGTCCCCTTGTTTGTACATCTTGTATCATGTGTGTCTGTTTGGTAGAAGGCCCATTCCTTCATACTGGCAGGCAAAGTGATGCTATGTGTCTCTGGCAGGTTGGAGACCGTGATGATTCAAATCTGTACATCAGCATGAAGTTGAAGGCAGCAGCAGAGGTAAAAAAAGATTATTTACATCCAGTTCATAGACCCCACTTCTACTGCGCACGGATTGTGATCCTAACTTCCGGTTCAATCTCTTCTTCTGTGTACACAGATTGGAATAAACGCCACACATATGAGACTTCCCCAGACTGCGACGGAGGAGGAGGTGAGAATGGATATGAAGTATTTGTGTAGCCTGCCCGTATGCACACACGCACGGTATGATCGCAGTGAGATTGGGGTAAAGTGTAGGATTTGGGGTGCTATTTGTGCCGTAACAAAACAAGGATTGGAAGGTAAACGCGGCAAAAGAGAAACTGAAAATAGCTGAGAGTGTAAAGGCTGCCTGTCTGTCCGCAGGTTCTTCACAGCATCACAGAGGTGAACGAGAACCCGTCTCTCCACGGCCTCATCGTGCAGCTGCCCCTGGACTCGGTCCACAAGATCAACACAGAGAAGGTCACCAACGCTGTGGCCCCGGAGAAGGATGTAGACGGGTGGGTACAGACGTAATCTAAAGATCAGGGTGCTCATTTCTTAAGGTTTGCTTTATTTGAGTCTGGTTAAGAAGAAATCTCTTGGATAAGTTTAGTTGTTAGACAGCTTTAATTTGAGATGTTCATTGTGTTCTCATCATGTAATAGACTGACCAGCATCAATGCAGGGAAGCTGTCTCGTGGGGACCTGGGCGACTGCTTCATCCCCTGCACACCAAACGGCTGCATGGAGTTGATCAGACAGACCGGTAAACGCAACAATTACCACCCTAAAACATCTGTACTGTGATAATATACGACAAAGAATTGGATAAGGCCAGAATTAATCGCTGGACTTCTCTACAGGCGTGTCTATGGCAGGGAAGAAGGCGGTAGTGATTGGTCGTAGCAAGATCGTGGGCGCACCGATGCACGACCTGCTGCTCTGGAACCACGCCACCGTCACCACCTGCCACTCTAAAACCGCGGATCTCCCTGGAGAGGTAGTAACAGCTCCACCTAACCAAGCAACATAGCCTTGTACTCCCACCTGCCATACTGTGCCCCTCACACTGATGCAAGCAGAGCATGTAATGTGACCACTGATGTGTTTCTCGTGGATGAAACTCCATAAACAACCAGCTGGTGATCTCTGCTGCCGTCGTGTGGTATAAACAATAACTATTTCTATCCGTCTCTGTTTTTGTCCAGGTGAGCAGAGCAGACATCCTGGTTGTTGGCATCGGGAAAGCGGAGATGGTGAAAGGAGAGTGGATCAAGAAGGGAGCAGTGGTCATCGACTGTGGCATCAACCACGTTCCAGGTGCGACTTCCTGTGGCGTTTCAGTCTGCTTTTAGTTATGGCACTCCGGAGGTAGTTAGTTAATCAGTAGGAGTCGGAGGTTATTGTGACGTATTTCTCTCCGTGTCTCTCAGATGAGAGTAAAGCAAGTGGGAAGCGGGTGGTGGGTGACGTCCACTACGCCTCAGCCAAGGAGCAGGCCGGCTTCATCACCCCTGTGCCCGGTGGTGTGGGGCCCATGACTGTGGCCATGCTGATGGCGGTAAGGTCCATCTGCAGAGTCAATCCTGAACTAAACTCTCACGTTGGCATTAATTTACATTATTTTTTATTTCCATTGATGAATTCGTTCTTTAGTCTCATGTAACCTAGAAGTTAAACGAATGACTGTGTTTGTGTGTAGAACACGGTGTTGAGTGCAAAGCGTTTCCTGGAGAGCCACCAGCCGGGGAAGTGGAACATTTCTTACACCAGACTCAACCTCCAGAAGCCCGTGCCGAGGTTTGTCTCCTCATCTCCTTCTTCTCTCAGTCACGTGCTATGTTCACTTGTCACTGAAGGATTTGTTACATTTAATAATCCACATACAAGCAGAGCTGGTTTAATTCCTCGTCTCAGGTTAGAACTTTCTTTGCTCGGATGAAAAAAGTGATTTTTTTTTTGTGTGTCGTCTCGCTCCAACAGCGACATTGTGATTTCTCGCTCCTGCGTGCCCAAGCCCATCGACTGTCTAGCAAGAGAGGTGGGCGTGCTGTCTGATGAGCTGGAGCTCTATGGCAAAACTAAGGCCAAGGTCCAGCTGAGCATCATCAAACGGCTGCAGGCCCAGCCAGACGGAAAATATGTGGTGGTCACTGGGTATGCTGTCAGCACTTTATCTTCTGTACTTCACTGTACTGTCTGCTTTCCCTTGTTTATACAGCAGATCAAGTTCCTACCCCATCATGCCATGCAGCAGCATTTACAATGACTAATTGTGCGTTTGCTGACGAGTATGTTCCATGCTGAGAAGATCTTTCTGTCTGCAGCATTACACCCACCCCCCTGGGTGAAGGAAAGAGCACCACCACCATCGGCCTGGTCCAGGCCCTGGGAGCCCACATGAAGCTCAATGTCTTTGCTTGTGTCCGACAGCCTTCTCAGGGTCCCACATTTGGCATTAAAGGTGAGCTTTGGAATAATGTCAGGCAGCGAGAGGTTGGACAGGTTTGCAAGCTGTCCTGAGTCCTGTGTGTGTGTGTGTGTGTGTGTGTGTGTGTGTGTGTGTGTGTGTGTGTGTGTGTGTGTGTGTGTGTGTGTGTGTGTGTGTGTGTGTGTGTGTGTGTGTGTGTGTGTGTGTGTGTGTGTGTGTGTTTATTTATGTATAAATCTGTAGTTTTGTCTTCTGCCTACAGGCGGTGCTGCAGGAGGTGGATATTCTCAAGTCATTCCAATGGAAGAGGTACAACACTGCTGTGTCAAGTTAGAAAAACCAGCCTGCTAAAAATCCAAAAGGCAAAATCGCTTTTAATTCACGATTCTGTTCATTTTAGTTCAACCTCCATCTCACCGGGGACATTCACGCCATCACGGCTGCCAACAACTTGGTGGCCGCTGCCGTCGATGCTCGCATGTTCCACGAGTCTACACAAACTGACAAAGTGGGTCCTGCAAATGAGTCGGTGCTTTATTAAAACAATACCCTGTTTGTAATGACTGGATTGTGACCGTCATCTTTCTCTCTGTATGCATCCTCAGGCTCTGTATAACCGCTTGGTCCCGCTTAATGGAGGACAGAGGACGTTCTCCCCCATCCAGATCAACAGACTGAAAGTTAGTGATCGTGTTACAGGCTTGTAGGTCTTAACTCACAGTGCAGATTGAATTAAATTCACGTTTTCTGTATTTGTTTAGAAACTGGGCATAGAAAAGACTGATCCCTCCACTCTGACTGAAGAGGAGATCACCCGCTTTGCCCGCCTGGACATGGACCCGAGCTCCGTCACCTGGCAAAGAGGTGTGAACACCTGAGACGTCTCTTAGCCCTCATGACTCCTACTTTGTCTGCCTCTTTTAAACCTGCTGTTTGTCAGTGACTGTGAGTGCATTGATCGCTGTGTGTGTCACTTCAGTGTTGGACACCAACGATCGCTTCCTGAGGAAGATCACCATCGGCCAGTCGCCAACTGAAAAGGGCTTCACGAGAGAGGTAAAGAGACGACATCCAGCAAGCTGTTTCTCCACTCAGTAAAAGCCACTTTGTGTCACGTTAGGAAGTTTGTTTGGCTCCACCCAGTGGTTGTGTCAAAAGAGTCACTGTGGTAGGTAGCAATGCAACACACTGTATTTAAATGATGCTTTTAACACATAAAAAACAATTAGTCGTTTCTAAGAGTTCACAACTAAGCTAAAAATATTTATACATAATTTTTACGATAATGACACAATAAAAACAACAGCTATGTTTAAGCTGTGTATAATACACATGTAATGTATATTTAATAACAAAAATTAGGTCTTTGAGGATAAAATGATACAAGATGTTTAAAAAAAAGAGAAGTTCTGTGCTTTCATCTTTTCTGCGTGTATACTGAATGTAGCCTCTCTGAGCCCAGTTTGCTGCATTGCTGTTGTTAATAAGGGGATTCTGTCCTCCAGGCCCAGTTTGACATCACGGTGGCCAGTGAAATCATGGCGGTGCTCGCCCTCACCAGCAGCCTGCAGGACATGTGTCACCGTCTGGCCAAGATGGTGGTGGCCACCAGCCGCGGCGGACAGCCCATCACCACCGAGGACCTGGTCAGTGGTCTGGACTCGCCGTCACGACGGGACCTTCTACATAAGTATTGTGCAAACAGAATCCTATGATTTAACGTTTTTCTCTCTGTAGGGTGTGAGTGGTGCTCTAGCTGTGCTGATGAAAGATGCTGTCAAGCCAAACCTCATGCAGACCTTGGAGGTGGGTGAACACCACCACACACAATAGTTCCACTGAAAAGAACTCCACAAGCCAGAGAAAGTTGTCGTGAGCTTTGGTTATGTGTCTGAATCCACAGGGAACGCCTGTGTTCGTCCATGCCGGCCCGTTTGCCAACATCGCACATGGAAACTCCTCCATCCTGGCTGATAAAATAGCGTTGAAGCTGGTGGGACCCGAGGGCTTTGTGGGTAAGTGGAGCTCTGTGGTGGCATGTTTTCTGATGCAGTGCCACAGTAGATGGTTTCCTGTGTTTACTGTGCAAGTGACGGAGAAGCAGATGTTATATAATTTAATGATATAACAGCTGTGATTCTGTTCCTGCTCTCTTTCTCTCACAACCTCTGTCAATTGTGCCCAACAGTGACGGAGGCCGGCTTTGGTGCCGACATTGGCATGGAGAAGTTCTTCAACATCAAGTGTCGCTACTCAGGCCTGAGACCCCACGTGGTGGTTCTGGTGGCCACGGTCCGAGCCCTGAAGATGCACGGAGGAGGACCGACGGTGAGTTTGCTGGAGTTTTCCTCTAAATCCTAATTACCGCGCTGATTTTATTTTCAAATAAAAATCACTTAAGCTTTGACACATCTGTATAATGTTTCATGAAGTTTGCTTTTCACTACATCAACATCCAACATCTCATATTGTTGCTTCTTTATTTAGCTTCTTAATAGTCCTGAAGAAAACAATTCAAATTAAACATTTGACTCATTTCTTGTTCAGGTCACTGCTGGGATGTCACTGCCAAAGGAATACATCGAGGAGGTAATGCCTGACTGCGAACTGCCCAAATGTGGTCTTAATTTTAAGCGATGGTTTTCTGTTGATGAGCTTGTCAACATTGTGTATTTATAAGTTTATAGAGAGCCTCACACAAGTCTGCCCAGCATGTTAAAGGAGTAAACACAACATGAGCATCTACATGAAACATTTAAGGGGGCTGAGTATCGATGCTCTTCACTAACTTCTCATAAGCTGATTTAAAAGTGTGTTTTCTCTCGTATCTGCATGTAGAACCTTGAGCTGCTGGAGAAGGGCTGCAGCAACATGAGGAAGCAGATCGAGAATGCACAGCACTTCGGCGTGCCAGTGGTCGTGGCTGTTAATGCTTTCAAGTAAGCGATGGATGACGACGACGCAGCAGACTAAAATGATCAAAATAACGACACCAATGTGTTGTGTCATACATTGATTTGTAGTTAATCCGTCCATGTCCCTGCTGTATCTCTTAACGCCTTGTGTTGTCCTGCAGGACGGACACTGAGGCTGAGCTGGACCTGGTCTGCAGCGTGGCCAAAGCTGCCAGGGCCTTCGACGCCGTGCGCTGCTCCCACTGGGCCGACGGTGGAGCCGGTGCGGTGGCCCTGGGTCAGGCTGTCCAGAGGGCCTCGGAGGCCCCCAGCAAATTCAAGTTCCTCTATGATTTGGAGGTACGGGCCATCGAGTTTCATAAGTTTTCATAAGTGGTTGAGGTCAAGTATGTGAATGAATTTGCCAGAAAACACGCCTGTTATTATATTTAATTTCTCTGTAAAGGGGATTAAAAAATGTCCGTCACTGAAGATAAAAATAATGTTCTCATTCACTGAGACATTTTTACCCATGCATCCAATATGAGTGAAAAATAGTTCATAAATCATGTATTTGGGCCATTAACTCAAGTCGCCCACTGAAAATGTGCTAGTTTTGCCTAGTTGGCATTAGTGACCCAACGTACCCTTTTTATGATTATTATTTCTAATTCCTCTCTAGCTCCCTATTGCTGATAAGATTCGAATAATCGCCCAGAAGATCTACGGAGCGGATGATATTGAGCTTCTGCCAGAGGCTCAACACAAGGTGGAGCTCTACACCAAACAGGTCAGCTCCTCGTCCTTTTATTTCTCTGCTCTGTCTTTTCAGGCCTGCTCTCGGTGAGAGTCCTCATAACTGGATGGAGAATGATTGATAAAGCCTTTTGTGAACAATCCAATACATCTTCTGTCTTCTCCCCTCAGGGTTTCAGCAAGCTGCCAATCTGCATGGCCAAGACTCACCTGTCGCTCTCTCACGAGGCAGACAAGAAGGGTGTACCCACAGGGTACATCCTGCCAATCAGAGACATCCGTGCCAGTGTGGGCTCTGGCTTTTTGTTCCCACTGGTCGGCACGGTAAGCTTGCAAACGATGCCTTTCCTTTTTACCGGTTTTGCCGCTCATTTATGTCTGGCAGTGACTCTTCACTGCTCGGTGCCTACGCACCATCAAACCGCACAGCAACGTAACTTGATTTTCTACATTCATCCGTTAGAAGGTTTGATCATAAGGTAGGATGAATACAAAGTGCGACTTACAGCCCTCGACTGACTTGATCTATTTATAAATACACATTGTCTGTGCATATAATTATCTTCAACTGAAAGTAAATCCATTCATTATCATATGGCTGCCTACACTCTAGGGTTATCTTTTCTGGGTGTTTCCGTGTGTTTACAACTTAACCCTTTCACTGTGTGTTTTCAGTTTGTGAAAGTTGTAACCTATTTGGTCACCTTTATACAAGAGAAGCTATACGACTCATTTTAAATGCACCAATAATGAGATGAGCCTCCATGTCATCACAGTAATTGAATACATTTAAATTTAGTTCAAAGGCTGCATTATTAGCGTGTACATTTGTACCTTTTTATATGATGAATTGATTTTGATAGACTAACAGTGTCTACCATTTAAAAACTGCTTTCTCTTGCTGTTCCTTGTAGATGCCCACGATCCCTGGTCTGCCCACCAGGCCCTGTTTCTATGACATTGACCTGGACCCGGAGACCGAACAGGTCAACGGACTCTTCTGAAGCCGATGATGATGAGGAAGGTAGTAAAGACATACAGATATCAATGAGTACTGTTAATATCTAGTGAGCCTTTATGAAATGTGATGCACTATCAACTGTAAGCTCCATGAGCTTATAAGAAACTTAATTAATCTCAGAACAGTTTATCCCCCCGAGGTTCCCAGACTGTCATAGCCTTAATGGAAGGAGGAAGTGTCCTATTGACGGTTCTCTCCGTTACATTGTTCGCTGCACCCCATGACAATAAAAAGCCACTTAAGAGATTCCCAAATGGCCAATCTGAAGTCTTGTGTTAACTACTTGTGTATATTTTGTGTACACTATACCACTGTCTTAAATAATTGTGCGTGCCTTTGGGATACATCTATGGTTAAAAAAAACAACTACTGAACATAAAAATAATGCTGCCTCACAAAATGTTTTATGTATTTTCTTTTTAGCAATCCTGTGACTGTTGCCTGTCAGCTGTCCTGTGTTCTGATAGAATATCTCTGACATTGCTGGAGAACCCATGATGTAAATGAGTGGTTTCCACTCTTCTCTTCCACAGAAAAGATCAAATAAAGTGTCCTTGATGGAAAGCCCACATATCAACCCCTTTTTTTGAGATGTGTTGTTTTTACTGTGTTTATTGAATATAATTAGTTGAGGCTCATTAATTCCTCACTTTCTTGCCTTTTACTGCAATCGATATTAGTTTAATTATTCCCTCAGACCATCAGGATTATGAACTCTGTCCAGAGTTTTTATTTTTTAATTATACAGTATATTCTGACTGCAGACTCTAAATGTTTTCTTACATTTTTTATATAGGTTTTAATACTAAATGTATTATATATATATATATATATATATATATATATATATATATATATATATATAGTTAGTAGTAAATACTATAGTTTGAATATTGAGTAGTAAAGGTGTACATCTGTGGACACTGCAGACTGAGTGATGACTGCTTATGCTCCCGTTTAATAGAAATAAAGGTGAGTGTGGCACGATTGCATGCTGAGAACTTGTTGTGTTCACACAGCACTAATGTAGAATGAGGGGTTGAGACATTAAACACTTTACTATAAGCAGGGAAACAGTTGAGGACCATTGATAAATCTTAAATGAACTATGTCAGTGACAGAGGCTGGGTTAAGAAAATGCTCAGGAGAGAGCTGACCTGAGACCAGAGACTCTGGATCTAAACACCAAAGAAATACATAAATTCAACGATGCAGAACATAAGGCAAAACAAAAAATGGCCCAATGGCAAAACAAAATAACAGCAAGCACGGTCACAGGCGATGTTGCTGCTGTGGAGGATTGACACTTAGCTGCATCTGATGGTAGTTAAGCAACGATGGTACAATCTGATCAAAATGCAGAGCAACAGTGTGAGGAAAGACAACTTCTCCTGCTAGAAACTGCAGGCTCTGTTGCAAAAAAAATCAGCACTGAAAGAGTTAAAAGATGAACTGCTCGGTGCCTCTGCCCATCTGGATCCCAACAACTGTGCAGCTTATTATGGAGACAAATTAATTCTGTGAACTTCGTAAACTCTTTAGCTTGAATCTATCTCTCGTGCCAGCTGTGTTTGCATTTCTGCAACACATGTTCTTTCTTATCTTAGGTGACTGTCAATAGTATGTACTGGCTAACTAAACCTTGATGTGAATGTACACGCTATCTCCAGCTGTACGGGGCAAGAGGCGTCTCTCGGACGCGTTTAAAAGTTCCCCTCAACATCGAATTTGTGGTCAGACTTCCTGCATCCTCTGCGGATGAAGGAACGCTGTCCCTGTGACTGTTTGTACTTATAGTTGAATCTGTTAGTACTCATTGGCTCATGTTGATGACTTGTATACCCTTGATCATTTTTCTATATCTTATTCTGTAATAAATTCTTAAAGACAGAGAGCTTAAGATACTTTTGATTTCTCACAAGGAAATGCATTCATTTCCACCACAGCGAGGAGAATCATTAAGTTTCAGTCTTTTCAAATGGGCAACAATGCTGCTATTCCTCTACATACCTGGTGCAGAAATCAAAAGGGTTTGTGTCTAATGTGTGTGCTCAGTCTGCAGTTATAAGGCGTCTCATGAGATGAAGAATATGGGTGTGTTAGTTCTGCACACGAGTCTTATCTTGTAAAATGTCACTGTTTGTAGGACAGGTAAGATTTGGGTTTGGCCAGGAAATCGACTGACAGTGTTGTTGTGTGTGAGAGCTAATGACAGTTCCACCTCAAAACATGAAATGAAGGATCTTCACACACATATATATTGATTTCTTAATTATTATGGTTTGTTTCTTTTTCCATTCCTTCATTTAATTAATTTGTATTATTATATATTATTTATAGAATATTTATTTATCACAATCCACAAACAATATGGAGCATCTGCCTAATTAGTACTAAATACTATAGTGTGAGTATTGAGTAGTAAAGGTGTACATCTGTGGACACTCCAGATTCCCGTTCAATAGAAATAAAGGCACGATTGCATGCTGAGAACTTTTTTCCTTCACACAGCACTAATGTAGAATGAGGGATTGTGATGTCTCGGATCAAATGAACGTTGACATTTTTTTTTCCAGCTAAATGCATTATATCTATTTCACAAATGAATATTCAGGAAATGGTTTCTAAATGTTTTTCCAAAGTCATAATCATGGTATTATTTGATCAAATAACCTATTTTCTAGTTTACTGGCGGGCGAGTTGTTGGTCAGTCATTGCATCACCATGGAAATCGAGGAATTGTGGAGCTTTGTTGAGTGAGAGGCAGAGGCACACTCAAAGGTGTGCCACATACAGTGTTATGGAGTGGAATAAGGGGAGTCAACAGAGATAAATGACAGGTATGGAGGTATTTTATATGCAACATATTACCTTTAGATTACATATTTTAAATGACAGAAACAAGATTGATAGAATCAACATGTAAAACTTGCATATTTGGACACATTTCCTTAACAATGAGAGTAAATGTGATTTGTTCATGTGTTCAGGCTACACTGATCAGTAACCTTTTTTGAAAACATGTTCCGAAACATCAAACTACTCCTTTAAAACTAGTTTTTGACACAGGGGCCCTCTCAGAAAAGATATACAAATGAAGTAGAAACCACCTCAAGGCCCTTATTATGTCAGTTTAGTGTAGCCTATTATACATGATGCAGGCTACAAATGTGATGTGGAGAAATTGTGCTCTGGACCTCCTGAACGTTTCCTAAATCTGATGTGCAGATAGTTTAGATGTTTGCTGAGCCCACTCACACTGTCCAAAAAGGTATTATAATCAAACAGGAAGATTAGCATTGAGCTTCGGCACAGGCAGCCTCCTGAATAGTCAAACCCTTTTAGAATTGCCCGTCTACTAGCACCACCCTCAGCACAATGTTAACCACACTTCATAAAGTCTATGATCTCCTGGTTCACTTGTCGTTAAACTGGCTGTTGATGGGAAAATCTAACAACAAAACTTGTTAAGGGCACTATCGCCAGGTTTAATATTCCAATGAATTCCAAAAGGAATACTTAGGAATTGTCTGGTGGTTTATGATGACTTTGGATCTATAATGTTCTTTTGTCTTGTTTACAACATCACCATAATATGCTATGCATTTCCAAACTATTCTGTCACTGAGTATTTGCGTTTCACTGAACTTTATTCTGTCAGCATCTTTTCTGTTGCTGCCACATACCAGTGAGTTAATGCTGTTTTGTAATTATGTCGTTTCAGTATTATATTGTGGGGGCTGATTGATTTGTATTGTCACTTATTATCATCCTGACTTCTATTGCATTTTATTTCACCAACTCAATCTGTTCATCCTGCGCTGAAGTTCTGCACATATTAGTTTGCCACTCAATGTTGGTCATGGCTGTAATACTCGTAACAAACTCGCCCTGCAGAGTTAACATCCGACTGTGCATATTTACCATCAAATTATAGAAACAAGTTCATATGCATTTGAATAAGTGTATATTATGTGAATATATAATAGACCAGTCTTTTCTTTTTGAAGATTATTTTATTGGAGACATATTTAAGTCTTTACATCACTTTAAGCGAACTGAGATTCAAATATTTCTTCATCAATCACCACCACGATCACATCCACGACCACCGCGATCACCTCCACGACCACCGCGATCACCACCTCCACGACCACTACAATCACCACCTCCACGACCTCCACGATCACCACCTCCACGACCTCCACGATCACATCCACGACCACCACGACCACCTCCTCCACGACCACCACAATCACCACCTCCACGACCACCTCCTCCTTGGCCATATTCCTCCCCCTGTAAAGAATCATAACAACAGCGGTTGATGCATTTCCTTAAAAACATAGAGAGATAAATGGCTCTATAGTTTTAAATCTAAAAGGTTGTAATACCCCTATCTCTTCACATTGTCCTCTTTCCTTTAAAAGACAATGGGAAATTATTACGAGCACTACAGTGTTACTGAGTCAGGCAGTGGGGCAAACCAGCATGAAGCACAAATTAGGAAGATGAAAGATGTTTTACCTCGTTTGAGTCCCTTCCCGGGCATCCTTGACCCTCTGGCATGTTTTCCTATAGGAGAGGAAAACAACTTCATAAGCACACCTGTTTTCCTGCTGTTTGTCACAGAATTAAAGCACTGTAAGGAAACCAACTCACTTCACTCATTTTGTCTTGTTGACGGCTGCAGTAGAAAGTCTTTTCCTGGGGAAAAAAAAGGAAAGCGAGTAGAATCATTAAGTTTCAGTCTTTTCAAATAGGCAACAATGCTGCTATTCCTCTACATACCTGGTGCAGAAATCAAAAGGGTTTGTGTCTAATGTGTGTGCTCAGTCTGCATTTATAAGGCGTCTCATGAGATGAAGAATATGGGTGTGTTAGTTTTGCACACGAGTCTCATTTTTTGAAATGTCATTGATAGTTGTAGGACAGGTAAGATTTGGGTTTGGCCTGGGAATCAACTGACAGTGTTGTTGTGTGTGAGAGCTAATGACAGTTCCATCTCAAACTATTAAATGAAGGATCTTTACAGACATTTAACTGCATGGGTGTAACCTTGGGGATAAACCTGGCCCGCCCTAGCAATGCAGGCTTTTGAGTTCAGAATCATTAAACATTTCTCCTTCATTTAAACTATACTATTTGCTAAATAGTATACAAAACATAACATACTGCCTATTACATATATCAAATGATTCAATTGAACGTATCTGGAATATGTTCACAGTCTGCGTATTTCACTGATTATTCATTGTGAAAGTGCCAAATAATCCATTAATGTTGACATGTTCTGTTTGAACGGATTCTTTCTGACTGAAGATTTGAGCGCTGAAGTGTCAAATTAGAGCAAACTAATCAAGTTTAATGTGGATATTCTTACTAAGATCAGGCGCATATACAGATGCTAAACTTACTGGCTATTGTAAACATAATTATTTCAAATTATATCCTGTATTTAGCTAAAGCAGCAACCGATGTGTGCGACTAATTCTACGTATTAGTCATGCATGGTACAGGAAAGAAATCATTGTTGATTGATGCTTTTATTTGATTCTCCCTTGTGCAAACAGGTTCTGAAGGGTGCACCAGTCCAGAGTCTAGAGTCTAGAGTGGCAGCATTATGCTCAACCCTGCAAACCAAATCCTCGATTAGAAGCCATGCGGTAAGTGTTGAGATCGTTAACTTAAGTAGTAAAATACATTATATGACACTATAAAAACACTCAAGTCATGCTTTTGTATTTTTATTTTAGGTCACAAAGGTATCAGCACCAAAATATTCTTAAAGAATTAAAAGTGAATGTGTACATTGCCACTGTCTGAATGTAATGGATTATTATTACTGATGTGTTTAACAATGTATTTGCTATAGAGGTGGAGTTGATTTTAACTAAGTAAAAATGTAGTAAAAAGTACAATAATTGCCTCTAAAATGTAGTTGAGTAGAAGTAAGGTAGCAAAGAATGAGAACTCTGTAGTAAAATACAAGTGACTAAAAATAAAGTACTTGAGAGAGTAGGAAACATATCTAACCAGTTAGATATGCAACAGTACCGCCCATGAGGTAACCTGGACACTGGTGTACACATGTTTGTGTTTGTAACCACCAGTTTAAACTGCAAAAATAGCAAGACCATCGTCATTGTCTGTCTGGGTATTTCCAGCATATTTTACAGATCACAACTCTACAGCTTTACCCTCTTTAGGCATTTCGAAAAACTAGTTTGAAAATGTCACATGTGTTTCTCTGAGATCACTAGACGACAAACAAACTAGTTTGCAGGAGACACCCAAAACATGACCTGTGTCTTTTGTTCTCTGAACCGCAGTCATCTCTAAACATCTTTGTGTTGTCATATTTTGATCTATGTCTCATGTTAATGCACAAAGTTGAATGTTTGAAGTGCAAACCATCTATAAAACAAACACTGTACAATCATATTAATTTGGGTGACAGTGTTAAGCACTGTTATCGAAAAGTTAAGTGAAGAAGAAATTGGAAAAACTGCAAAGCGATTGTCTGATTATAGAAAATAGTGGCACTAGTTCACAAGGAAAATGCTGTTAACTATGAACTAGCTACTACTACACTTTTTGGGATAATATTTTGTACATTCATTTCATTTTGTACTCTTATTTCAATTTCACATTATTTTTCATCGCATTATTGTTTCACTTATTCCAATTAATCTCCAGTAGATTTTGATTGAAATAATAAACATGCAATATTTATCATACAATATTATGACATGTATTTGTAGGGCATCAGGCGTAATGAATCGAGCAAAGGAAAGCAGGCTGGGAGGGAGGCGGCCTCTTCCTTGTGCTCCTCTCCTCAGAAGTCAAGACTCTCCCTCATGTGTTAGAGGCTCCAGTTTAAAGTTGATTTGGCGCCATCTAGTGGACATGGTGTGAAACAGCTTCATCTTTATGACGGTGCTGCAGAATCCAGCTAATGTGGAGGTAAGTGCAGCTTTACTTTAATATCTCACGTATCCAACGTTATCTATCATCTAAAGAAAAAAATATATAGTATAAGGAAGACTAATTCATTTTTGTGAATGATAGAAACTATTTCTTAGACATGCTAGCAGCATGTTGGTCAGTTGTTTGGTCCAGGCTGAAATAACGTATTATAATCTGTATCTTAAACACAACATTTTCACTTGCTCCATTACTTTGATTTATGCCCAAATACCTGCTAAACTAATGGCATTCATATCAGCCTCAGCTGTACTTTAAGTGCTTAGTGCTAATTAGCTAATGTTAGCATGCTAACACGATAAACTAAAATGGACAACGAGAGTCTGCATTTAGCATCGGCACTGTTAGCATGTAGCACTGTTAGCATCGCCACTGTTAGCATGTAGCACTGTTAGCATGTAGCACAGTACAGCTCGAAGGTTCCTTGGTCTTGTTCGTTGATTTAAAGGTTAAATTACGTTATAATATTAAAATTCAACTACCGGTTTATCCTTTATTTGACATTCAAAGTTCATAAACCTGCTGTCACTCAAATACTTCAATCATTTCCAGGTATTTCTTTTCGAGACATTTCTTAACATTAATTAAAAAAACAACTCAAATACTTGTAGGCTAAAATATGTAAAGAGCTTTTGCTCATTAGCCGGACTGATCCATGTAGAATGTAAGCAATGTGGAGTGAAATGTAGCTCAGACGGGTGACTTTCAAAGATGTGTTTTTTTCTATAATGCTCTGACTCTGCTGCTTTTGGCATTTGTCTGCCAGGCTCCCGGGTTGCTGCATGTCATTAGCTCTCACACTTGGCAAAGGCAGCAGCATGCCATGCATGAAGAATTGTGGGAAATTCTACAGACAACCCCCCCCCCCTCTTTAGTCTTTAGGAAGCTTCTTTAGTACCCTAAACATGTTGTCTGGAGCTTGTAGGAGATGCAGCTGTTGGTGTGACTGTGGCTAAGTGCCGTCTTTCAATCAGAGGGTCGGCGGTTCAATCCCCGGCTCCGGCTCTGCTAGTCGCATGTCGATGTGTCCTTGAGCAAGACACTTAACCCCAAAATTGCTCCCGTAGCTGTGCCTACGGTATAGAAATGTGATAGAATCTGAATTGTAAGTCGCTTTGGATAAAAGCGTCTGCTAAATGACTGTAATGTAATGAAACCACAGTGGGAACAATTGGATCTCATTTATGATGTTGAAATTCATAGAGCATTCGTTTTAATGTGAATTAAAAAAAGACGCTTGTCAAACTTTTAGATCAATTCTCGCGTGGTCGCGTCACAAGGATATAACAGAAAATAACAGAAAATATGTGTGAAAGCTCCCACACAGAAAACACACGCAGCATGATTACATATAAACATTCTTAGAAAAACAAACAAAAAATATTGGATTTCTATATATTTGATGGAAATCATAAACGTTCATATACCACAAATTGTCAGCACAAATACAGACCCAAAGTCATTTACCAAACCTGAAGGCCTTATATATACGCCCCTAGCTTTAGAGAAGAAAGAAATAAATAATTACTAAATAATCAGATTATGGATATTATAAAACTATTATTTTATTGCCACTAGCATTTTAACATGTAAAAGAAAAAAGTATGAGTAACAGTATAGATTTGCTGTGGCTGCTAAGCATGAGATGCCACATATAAATATATACGCAGTAAAAAAATATATTACAGTGTCAATTGGGCAATAGCGCCAATATTCTTAAAGATGGTGGGGAGTGGGACGGGATATAACTAGCATGCTTTGAGCAGAGGATAAGTGAGGAGGGGAAAGAGCAAGTGCTTTAGAGTGAGGGAGTGGGAGAGCATATGTGCAGGAGGGTGGGAGGGTTGGAGAGAGAGAGAGAGAGAGAGAGAGATAGGGGGGGAGAGGACAAGCGGATGGGTGCTGTGAAATCCGTTAACAGGGGAGCTCTGTGTGTTTGTTAGACGTCTTGGCTGCTTGCCCAACTTGGCTCATTGTAATCGAGGCATGATCGTCGACTCCAGGCAGCCCTCTCTGCCGCCTCGGCTGCCTCGCGTCTGGACCCAGCCCAGCTCTCACCGCTGACATGGAAAGACCCGTGAGTGCCTTCTCTCTCCTTTCCCTCTCCCTTCTCCTCCCACACACCTCTCTCTCTCTCTCTCTCTCTGGTGTTAGGTTCCCCCCTCTTCCTCCTCTGCTCTGTCGCAGATTTAGCTGTGGCTACATGCAGCGTTTCAGTTATGCTCTTCCTCTCCCCTGTTGGAGCTCCTGTAGGTGGCAGGAACGCTGGGCAGCGAGGAAGCCTTGGCAGCTTTCTCTCTGCAGGGTCCCCCCCCAACCCCCTCCCTGCCTCTCCCCTTTCGCCTGCCTGTCCAGGCATGGGTGCCGTCCGCTGGCAGACCCACAACGTCTCTGTGTGTTTTGTGGTTGTGTATTGATGCTGCACACATCACAGAACTCACTGGGCCGATCCCAGGAGGGGTACCGTCCCCACAACAGAGTCTCCCCACTTTGTGGTGGCCGGTGTTTACTTCGGTCTCCGCCATTGGCCTCGCAGAGACTCTGGTTGGGCAGCGTCTCTCCCTTGCGCCTATTCTTGGTGGTATGTCCTCATGGTCTGTTGTGTTTGGATACCCTGACAACTAGAAGCCGTGAGGTAACCACTTTCCAGCCGCTTCTCTGAGTGAGTCCCAACTTTTGCTCACGCTCACCGTGTCTTTGCAGGTTTGACACACTGCATTCAGGATGTGTAGCTTTTGTTATTTCACTATGTGATGGCCTTTGTGCGCTTCGGTCTCTCGTGCGCTCGCAGTGATTCATCGTTCTGTGCTATTACCACAGAGAGCAGCCTCGACGGTCTGACCCTTGCGAATAATTTCTACAGAGTTGGGAGAATGGGGTACTTCAAAAGGAATTATGTGTTTTCACAGTTTCAACAAGCAGCGGAGGCAACTTTTCCATTGTCACTTGTCCTCAGCTCTGATTAACAGCAGTCAGTGATTGATTCAAAGTGGGAAACACTTGTTTTAGCTGTTTGAGTCGAAGAGTTCCTTTTTTTCCTTTGTTTTTCACAATGATTGTCGTTCATTGAGTATTCACAGAGTGCTGCTGTTTGTGGGCTGAATGAAACTTTGTGTACAATATGAAAATAAATGCTGGCTAGCAAAATGCAACCATCAAACTCATAACTCTGATCCCACCTTTTCAAAAAGGTTGACACACATTTGTCTATCGCAGCCTATCATCTGTTGGAAGTTACATTTCGGTGTCTGTGAAACAATATGTTGCATTTTATATGAGGGAGGAGCTGCCTTGTCACCAGTCTTAATGCTGACTTTTCATACACCCTGGTGCACCAATTTAAAGGACCAGTTCAACATTTTCTAATGTCCTTTCTAGCTAAGAATCTTTTGAGAAGGTCGACACCACTTTCATGACTGTGCGTTAAATGTGAAGCTACAGGCCGCAGCTGGCACAAATTCAAGCAAGTGAATGAGTTAAATTCCCCAAAATATGGTGCTATCCCTTTAAAACAGGTTGTGCAGTACGGTGGTGTTAATGCAGCTTCTTCTTTCATTGCGTCTCTGACTTGTCATACAGCTGACCTGAACCTCCAGTGATCTTGGTCTTTAAAGGGGGCGGTATACTCTCGTGAACCTCACGCTGCAGAGGGGAGTTCCTCCGTCACCATTCACAGTCAGTCAGGTGAATGAACCACACAGATCCAGAGAGACTACACATAGCAGGTTGGAGAGGGAACAGGAAGCTGCTGCAGGCTGAACTGAGATCTCTGTGTTGGGCATGGTTGACGCCTCCCCATTATCACTCTAATATCCTATTCCGGCCTCTTTTGAATATTTGTGCACATTTCTTTCATGTTCGCAGTTGGCACAGTATGTTAAAGAGGGATTTTAATGAAAGGAAGTGTTACCCACACACACACACCTAGACACATTTTGCACACAAGGCCTTAATTTTTAAATGTGAGGTTACTGATCTGATGTGTCTCGTTCCAGACCCCCAGTGAGATGATGCCCAAGAGGGATCATGAGCGGGACCAGCAGCTGGACAAGAAGATCGAGGCTCTCCGCAGGAAGAATGAAGCGCTCATGAAGAGGCACAAGGTATGGGCAGGTGCTTGCAAGCAGAGAGGCTGTCTGGGGCTCGTGTCTTTTCTGTGAGAGCGCTTCCTGATTATTCTGTTGTTTTCATTGCGTTGTATTTAGGAGGTGGAGGAGGACAGGAAGAGGGCAGAAGAGGAAGGAATGGCGCTACAGAGCCACAAGGGCAAAGCTGAGGATCTTACCATCACAATCAGCAAGTCCACCAGTGTGAGTTTCTCAATAATTCTTGAAAAGCTCACGCGTCGAAGCACTGCTATTATTACTTTTTTTCTGTGGATAAGAAGCCTCAAAATATTTTTAGAATATGTTTGTGTCTTTGGTCTGGAGCAGGATAGTCGCGTGGTGGTGACGAAGCCATTCAGCGGTGGTTCACCGGCTGGGAAAGGACAGCAGGAGGCCGGGCCCGACAAGGGGGGGGGAGGCCCTCTGCAGGGGGCTGGCCGAGGCCACAGGAAGCAGCTAACGGTCACCATGGCTGGAAAAAAGGTAAATACACTGCAGTCCCAATTTCCACTTAAAGCGACAAGAACAAATATAGGAAACCCCAAGACCCCCTGAGGTTTACCTGTAATACATGAAGGAATAACACAAAAGCAATTCCTCATTCAGGAATTACACATGTTATGATTGTTATATTATATGACCTACATATATATCAGATCCATGGAGTCAGAGCTTTTAACGCTGCTCAGTAGGTGCTTTTTTTCAACTTTGCTTTGCTTTGATCTAAACGCTAGCATTAGCATGCTAATATGCTCACAATAAACCTAGTGTGGTGTGTTATCATGTTCATTTTACCTATTTAATGTAGTGTGTTATCAGGTTGTCTGGTAACTGCAAGGTCGATGGTTCGATCCTTGGCTGGGACGTGTCGAAGTGTCCCTGAGCAAGACACTGAACCCCTAAAGGCTCCCCGGGCGCCTGTCATGGGCAGCCCACTGCTCCCTATATACCGGGATGGGTCAAATGCAGAGACAAATTTCCCCCTTACCGGGATTAATATAGTATAATAAAATAAAAATAAAAAAAGAGGCTGATGGGAAGGTATAAACCAAAGAATTGGGGATCCCCAAAGTCATTATGATACATTCCGTGGATATCTGTACAACAGTTAATGCAATGCATCCAGTAGTTTTTGGGATAGTTGTGTGTCGGTTTGTTGGTCCAACCGGCAGACTAGTATGGCTAAAAATGTGCAGCTGTGTGAGGGGTAAATGTTCTGATTTGTGCTCTGATTGTATTACAAATTAGAAATTTGAACCCTGAAATTACTAATCTTTGTGCATGTTTTGGACATGAGCAGGTTTGTCTCTGTTGCTACAGATATGACACCCTAATATGAGTACTTGTTTCTCCAGGGTAAGAGGGTGGTGAGTGAGAGGCCAGAGAGGAGGCCAGGCCCTTCGGACATCAAGAGCCCTACAGATGACGGACAGGCGAGGCGTGTGGAGTCAGCTGGGAGGGGGAATCAGCCGCCTCACACGACCAATAGAGACGCAGCAGAACAGGTCTGAATCGGACACTGTGAGCATTCCAGTGATCGTACGCTTCAGCATTTAAAACCTTGCATGCACCCCCCTGCCTGTTTCCACTCCCTGACCCCCCTTTGTTCGTTCTCGTGCTGCACCGACGTGTTTTACATAGATGTCAGACATGTGGGCTGGCCACTCCCCTCCAGTGATGGAGCACAATGGTCTGTGGACAGGAGGTGAACTGGGGCTGTGACTGACTGGTGTGGCAAGAACGGAGGGGGGCTACTAATAGAGCTGTTGGTAGATGTGCTGTAGAAACAAACCTTCAAAAGGCCTGGAGGCCGCCTCCTACTTTTTTAGGTTAATCCACTCAGATCTGATAGATATTTCTCTTCTTTTCTCCCTCTGAAGTGGCTTTGCTATTTTTTTAGCAAAGGAAAACTCACTCAATCTTTTGGGTTTAGATTCCTTTTGGCCTGTTAAGTTCACAGAGTCCCTCTAGGGCCGTGCAAGATAGATCGATGCTTTCATAGCTCTTGTTATTGGTAGCGTGAGATCAGAGATGGCATGTTTAACATCAATAGCTTCACTATATACTGTCGGTCTCAGATTCCATATTTACCGCAGATAGGCAGAGACTTGTGCACATGCAGCACCCCCGGCCAGGCTGTGAAATGCCACACTGTCATTGAACCCCCCCCCCCCCGGGTATGCAGAACAGCTGCTCTGACACACACACACACACACACACACACACACACACACACACACACACAGGCTGCTCAATCAGTGAGTTAATGCATAGCACAGACAGCTGATCCTCACCACTGTAAACACAGAGGTGGGAGGGGCCAGCACTACAGCACACCAGTCATCTGTGAGTCCCAGAGAACTGGTTTCCACGTGGTCCCTGTTTACATAATATCACATTTACATAATGAGAGCTGCAAAAGGGTGTTGATGGGAGGAGAAAATGTTTGTTTGGAAAAGATCCATGTTAAGCTGCACATATATATGGCCTCTGACATATTTTCTAATGAGCATGTGTGTGTGTGTAGATAAATAATGACTGCGAGATGGGTGTGGTTATTTGGCAGAGTCCCAGGCAGATTGTAATGCCTGGAGGTCCCTCAAGACAAAACTGTCAGTTCACACTCATGAGAAAGGAAATGCAGAGGGAGGGAGTGAGGGGAAAAAAGGGGGCGGGGGGGAGAGAAAGGGAGAGACTCATTGGCAGCCCACCGTCTGTTTCCAGCCACCATTTCTCCTCTCTGGAACCTTAAGTGGTCTGCTCTCCTCTGGCACAATTGTTTCCCCATTCCCACCATCCTGAAAGGACCGATTTGATCTAATTAACATTCGACTGCCTTCTCACTGTGAAAAGGCTCATTATGCTGCCAAAGAGACGGGCCTGGCGAGGTGCCAGGAAAGGGTCAGAGAGGGAGAGGAAGAAGGAGTGAGAGGAGAAAGAAGAGAAGAAATAAGGTAGACGGGGGTCTTTTGTGTTGGTGTATAAGCCAGGCAGCGTTTGGGTGCAGGAGAGTGCATGTGGGCGTCATTGTCTGCAGGTGCACTAGACCACTCTGTCCAGTGTTTATTGTTGCTCCCACCTCGACACTGTTCAAATGTTGCTGTTAACGGCAACATGACTCATCGACTGTGAACACCGGAGTGCATCTTCGCAGAAGTACACTCAAAAAAACAAAATCCACACAATTCTCTACCTGCAATAGGATGAATTTCATTTTCCAAACCAAAATGAAATTCAACCACCAACTGCGCTCTGCTTGGTGACCTCATTGCAGAGCGGACATTTAAAACTGACCCACAAGTGCCAAATGAAGCTGTAGGACCGTTAGTCCACTTGGGGGCAGTGTAGGCCCCTAAATCCTCCGTCTGTGCTCTCGCTTGATTTGTTTTCAAAGTTTAAGGCGGAAGTAATGTGCCTCTTTTTAACCATGTTTAATTGGCTGACAACAAGTTGCTGTGTCATCTTCATTGTCGATGTGTTGATCTTCCTTTTATGTCTTGTCTCTCCTCTGTGACAGGACGGGGTTAAACAAGGGCAGCAGCACACCGAGGACCAGCACAGGCTTTCAGAGCAATGCCAGGTACCACAATGCCTCAGTTGACATAAGCACACACACAACATATTAACATGCATATTGTCACCATCTCTAATACGTATACCCATCTCAAAGGGTTGTATCTCTAGATGAAAACAAATGTAGAATACAAGGTTTCCACATGACAGCGCCACTATGTGAGCGCACGAAACACACTGGGATGCAAATACACGCTTCTCATCACAAACGCTCACACGCAGACAAGGCACAACACGCTCGTCCCCATCTGGCTCCCGCCGGCTCACGTGTTAATGTTGCTGGAGTAGCTCACAGCTGTCGCGCAGATCCTGCCTGCGACAAACAGGCTAAATAGGAAGGGTGGGCTTCAAAGGCACAACAAGTGATGCTGTTCATGCCTCTCTGCCTGTCTGTACCTTGCTGGCTTTGCAGCTGCAGCTCAAGGGAATACAATGCGTTGAGGGTTTTTTTTGGGTGTTGTGTAAGGGGTAAAGGTCACACAGCCGTTGGATTTGTTAGCTGCTTTGTTTAACAAATGTACAGGAAACCTCTTCTGGTATTTTCAGGCCTAAACCAGTGCAGCTTTGGAGGAAACAAAGAATATATGAGCAGGATCGTTCTTAGTCACCATGTAGCAATCTATCTAATTTTCATGCACGTGTCTGAGCCCGAGTCCTGCTCTCTCTCTCAGCACTGGCCAGACTCCCTGTGCTCCTCTACCTGCCTTGGCCCCTGACAACCTCCCAGCGAGGCCTCAGGGCGGCGAGAAATTGAAAAGTGCTAATTAGCAGGGCGGCTGTGGTGTCATCAGGAGACGGCCTGTTGGAACATGCTGGAAGCGGCCTCCCTTGTGGACACTGACGTTCTCCTGGGGACAGGGGGGGACAGGGGGATGAGCACAGATGCCATGTTCTCCAATAAATGTACACATGAAGGCAACATGTTTACTTGGCTGTGATTGGTCCACACCTGAGGCGAAAACACCCATCATGTGCCATTTCTCTCTCTTTCTCTCTCTCTCTCTGTCGTAAAATGCTGATTGTTTTTCCCATTTTCTCACACAATTTGATTTTTTTTCCACCAGACAGCAACATCAAAAAACAGACACTCATAAGCGCTTTCTCTCTCAGGACTGCTGGTCTTGTATGTGGTTTCCATCAGAGCACAGCCGTGTTTGTAGTCCTGGTTTGCTCCAGGGCTTTGTAACAAGAGCACCCAGCCTTTGTCCCTTTGATGTGTTAAAGAGCCTGCATCACATCACTCTTTAGTATCAGCAAGCAATCCTTTCTGCTCTCGTGGCAGTAATCAATAAACAGGTTAAGAGGGGAAAGGAGGAAGGGGATCTAATTGCGTTTACTGGACACCCTTTTACTGGAATATTATCTCAAAGAATTTGATTGCGTTACCTTCCAATCGTCATGGTAGACAAACAAGGAGCTCTTTGTATTTAAATGGGAGCCGACTGGAATTAACCGACACCGTCAGTGTTTACAGTGATGCAGCACTCGGCATTTACAGTAAAGTGGAACCCATGAAAATAATATCCTTGTTTGTTCCTTTTCTTTTGAACCCTACTGTTGTTTAGAGATGAGAAGCTGTTTCATGAGCAGCCATGCTTGACGTTTACTGCTCCGATTAGTGTGTGGAGTGAAGCTTCGGATGTATTACATATTTCAAATGCAACTGTTTTGTGTCTGCTAAAGGAGCCGGAGAGCCTGCAGGCCAGCACAGACCTCAACATCCCCACGTCGAAAGAGGAGCAGGAGGAGTACGTGCGGTGGAAGAAAGAGCGCCAGCAGATCGACAGGGAGAGAGTGGCACGCCACAAAAACGCCAAGGGCCAGTGGAAACGGGCGTGGGACGTGGACAAATCTGACAACATGTAAGACTTCTTAGCACTCACACTTCCCAAGGCACCTCTGCTGATTTCTTACAGCTGTCCCTCCGGGTGATATTTAATTGGCTCCCTCTATTTTTATAATGGAGAATTCAATTCCAGGAAATGTTGACTGGACACAGATTAGGGTGTTATCTTTCCAGTCTAGGTGTTGGAAATCTACGTCTCTGTCCTCTAGTCTTCAATCCCCTTAGTTATGAAACAAGATGCTTCTTCATTGCTTTACTTACATCGTGTAATTTAATAATACATCGTCTTGCTGAGACTTCATGAGAAGATTGATGCCACTCTGATGTCTGTATGCCAGCAGCTAGCTAGCTTACCTTAGCATAAGCTCCACTCACACCGGCACACCTGTCACCTGTCGTCTTAAAGTGATTGATTCGGAAAAATTGACCCACTCCCCCCTCCTCACATAAAAATCAATTAAAGTGGAGTCAATGCCAGGCTGAAGATGAAAACAAAGTGTAACAAGTTGATATCAGGCTAAATCCCCTGCCCTGCCTAGCAGCTATTTTAAGAATCAATGCTTGTCTCCTCTTCTTTTACTTCCGAAGTTCGTGAGAAGCTTCATTCACTGTTAGTGCAGATGTAGATAACAAACTAACCTTGAAGAACATCTGGTGTCTTTCTATTTAGATTATTCAGTGGAAGGATCCATTAGGTGAGGTGCTCACGAGTCTAGATCTCGTGAAGTCACAAGACATTGCTCAATTATTATGTAAAATAATGACCTTTCAGGCACGTATCCCTGTATCCTTGTACCCCTGTATGACCAGTTATGTAACAGTGTGTAAGCATATCTGGTTGTGTGTTCTCTCACTGTGAGGATTGAGTTTGATTACAGGAGGAATGAGATACAGCCCAGTCATTGTAAGTGTTTGTTGGATTTCAAACAAACCAGGCTGTGGTACAAAGAGTCGCAGAGTGAATGAATGTGCTGTTTATTAAGGAAGCTTCAAAATGTAAATAGACAAAAGAGGAGCGGCTATTTTTAACTTGGGATAAGGGATGGAATACCTTGCCTTATTTGGCGAGGCTTCAACAAGGCCCTCGGGTAAGAATAGAAGAGGAAGTGTGTTTTTGAATCAATAATGTCGATGGCTTCACTGGATGCGTAATGCAGGAGTGTGACTCATGCAGCAAAAATAAACCACTCACCGATTCTGCAAAATCTCAAATTTACATAACAGATGTACAATAATGATACTTGAATGTGAGAAGAGCCTGTTGATGGGGTGGAGATGGGCCGTTATGCCCCCTCAACAAAAAGCGGTTATGAGACATGAGCTTGCATTGGTTTGTGTTTCTGTCTTAACTGAACCTCCGCTTTTAGGTTTTCAGACAAATCCCTCGCTGACAGAGACTGGGGGCCCTCCAACAGAGGTGAGAAATTCACGAAGCGCAAACTGAGAAGATGAGGAAGAGGACCGCTCACGTCACAGTATGATGATAACATGATGTTTCCATCATCTGAGTCCTTTTTTCCTTTTTATTGAATCAGTTTCTTTCTATTTCAGGTGGACGAAATGCTAGAAGAGGATCGTCCCGAGCAGGTGCGATATCCCACACTTCAATATAATTATTTTATTCGTTTAGTATTGTTGTTGTTTCCTAATATTTAAAGACATTTAAGCACACACGGCGAGTAAACAGTAAAAGATGTACTGTTGCTTCTGCAGAAATGAGAACTGTCTTTTTATGTAAAATGTAATTTAGTTGTGACTCAACCTTTGGTATTCTTCTGTCCTAGGTCATGAGAAGCGAGGCAAAGACAAGGGAGCTAAAGACGTGCTAGTGATGAGCAGTAAAGCAAAAGGCATAGATCGTCTGACTGGGAGAGCCAGGAGGTCAGTAGCAGCTAAACATCATCTACAAACCTGATGTTATAGTTGACTCAACCGGGGCACACTCTCCCCACAGCCTCAATTGAGTGTTACTGGAAGACATACTATGACGAGTGAAATAAGTGAAACGATTGTGGGGAAGGCTGTTGTTGTTTTCCAGCAGCTGACTAATTAACCCAGAAGGCTTCGTTTTGTGTCTCACGGCATTGGATTTGTTTTTCCTCCTCCAGCCATCCTGTGTTGTGAAACAAGCTACTGTGCTGGGTGGTGAGGAGGCTTTCAGTGTGCGTCGTTACACAAGCATTGCGTCACCTCAAAAAGCCACTAGGCCACAGACCCAGGAGTGATGCATTATGGGCTTTTAGTGTGAAAGTGTAATGTGCCAGGTGATTTCCTCTCCACGCGTCTCAGTGATGGAGCTGGGAAAGGGTCAGGGGACAGTGCAAAACAGCATGCAGGTGTGTCCTCACAGACTCTTGTTAGCAGGGTGAGCTGATTACACAGCTGGGAATAAATTGTAGTGTAGTGAGCGGCAGCTCTCAGGCCACTAAGTGACACAATTCTCACAGTATGGTACATATGAAGCTACAACCAGGAGACGCTGAGATTAACTTAGCATAAAGACTGGAAATAGGGGCAAACAGCACCTGTAAAGCTCACTAATTAAAATATATCTCCTTTTTTTCACCCTATTTTGTTACCTCAGGACGGAGCCAATCTATATATGTCGTCCAATTTCCTGTTTTAATGATGAGCTAAGCTAATTGGCTGCTGGCTGTAGCTTCATATTTACTGTACAGTAAGAAAGTTATCGATCTTCTCATCTAACTCGGCGAGAAAGCAGTAAACGTATTTCCCAAGCTGTCAAATTATTTAATTAGCCGTTCTGTGAGGCTTACTGTACATTGCATATGGTAATGAAAAGAATAACAGATTAACAACACACACTTTTTAAATTACAGAACAGCTTTTGATGAAACTCATTTTATTTATTTTTTTAGATGGCAGGCAAATGAAGACGGAGAGAACGAACAGGTGAGGTATCAAACCTGTGTGAGTGTAAAACGGTCTTGCTTCATAAATGTCACTGCAACATTGATTTGTTGTTCTGATCTCATCCTCTAGTCTGCTGACACGACGTTAGAAGAGTTTTTGGAGGAACTCGACGCCCTCACAGATGCCGAGGTGGAAGATCAGAAAGATGAGGACTCGAAATTGAAGCTGTCGCCCGACCCAAACTCCCTGAGTACATCTGAGGAAGTGAGTGGATCCACAGCAGCCCCCACTCAGGGGAAGGCAGAGGCCTCGTCCCCTCAGGGTTCGGAGAAGAAAGTGCGTTTCTCAGAGGCGCTCATCCAGGCGGCTCACACAAAGCAAACCACAGGCTCTCAGGACTCTGCCTGCCCGAGGCCCTTAAAAGCCTCCTCACCTAGAAAGACCCAACACAAAGTGCAGGGGCCACAGCAGCCTCTGGAAAGTGCCAAGCAGGAGGATGTTAGTCCTCAGGATCAGGGAGGTGGTCCGCCTGCTCCTCCTGTTGCCCAGCAGCAGGCTTCTGAAACTGAATGTATTAAAGAAGACAGCACCCTCCCCACCGCTCCCAGCTCCCCCTCTGCTGAAAACGTCTGTGCCTCGCTACAGCCGAGCTCTGTGCAGCCTGTAGAGCTTGCCAAGTGCAACATCAGCAACACAAACACAGGTATGCACTAGCTTCGATGGACCTGACATTTCTACTATGCGGATGACATATAACTGATCTAGTGTTGGTTTTCTTTTCAAAGAGGAACTAATAGACTCCGGCCTGTCTGTGCTGAGCCTGGAGTCGGGAGAAACACACCCAACACACTCCACCAGCAGCGACAAGGTCAGTGTGAGAGACAGGAAGAAGGGTGAGAAGATCAATAGATGTGTAAATGGACCGATGGAGGGAAGTGCAAATGGATGAAAGAGAGAGAGAAAGAGAGAGCGAGAGAGAGAGAGAGAGTCTATCTGCACTGCATCTGTGGGATATGATAAATAGTCTCATGAGAGAATGCCCCTTTACCTCATCCACCAATGAAACAGCTTGATAATATGTAACTTCCTCCTGAAATTCTTAATATAGAAAATAAATGAATATTATTTGAATTATGGAAAATGAATAAGCTTTAACTTGTGCTTTTGTGTATGTTTTTCTCTTTTTTTTTGCAGGCAAGAGAGCGCGGGAAGATTGTTTGACATTTTCTGGACGTAAATACTGAAACCAAATCACAGCGACACAGCGACACACAGAGCCTTTGCCTTTTTGTATTTGCGTTTTGCTTCGGGCAGCTCGTTTGAGTTGCCCCGTCTATGGCTGACACACTAAACCCTGGTTTCATTTGGCTGTGGCGCCTCCCACCTGTGGACGTTCTCAAAACTCTCTCAGATTTGATGAAGGAATGGTGAAAGTTTTTCCTGCTCAAATATTTTTTTTACATCCAAGCACTTTATGAGTATAAAAGTATGTGTACTGACACATTTTTCAACATGTTAATACGCTGCTTCAGTGCAATATCATTAAATGTTTACATTTGTATGAAAATGTCAGGGTACATATCAGGAGGCTTGATAGCCCTTGAGAAGCCACAGTCAAATTATCTAGTGCCTGCTTCTGCCTTAGAGGTATTTTCAATAAGTGAAGATTGTAGTATGTGTTGATACAGTAGTGACAGACCTACAGTACAGTCTGTATTTATACACATAACAACTGTGTGACTACACATAGTTTATTTATTGCTTCCAGCATCAGTCAATGGCCTTTAACTAATCAGAAATCACTACAATATTAAAGGGCACATCTGGGACTTATTGTGTTATTGGCCACTGACCAAAACAGTTAAGTTGTTAACTTCCTAGAATATTACTACTGACATAAAAAGTGTTTCATTGTTATTGTTACTAAGAACGTTTAAAGGGGGACTCCGTCCATTTTACACTTCAAGCTCAGTGGACTCGTCGTGGTCAGTGCGATTCAGCTCAGCGTGAAGGAGCTTCATCGAGTCTGACAAAATAACCCTGATGATGTCATAGTGATGTCATCAAGGTTATCTCAATTTGGAATTCACTAATTGAAACAGAAAGCTCACGTTGAGAAACTAAGGAGTGAGGTGATTGCAAGGCAGATATGATCTAAGAAATGCTATCAAGTTTGATTATGGGAAATGTAGCATTGAGTTTTTTTTTAAGTTTGACCCAATCTAGGGACTAAAAGTTATATCTTTGAACTCTGCTACACAGATTTAAATGATTCTGTGGTGTCTCCAAAGTCCCCAAACGTACATATAAATACAGCTCTTAATCGCTGGACTCCTCCTTTAATGTTAAGCTAACATTCAGCTAATAGCAAAATCCACATTGCTGGTATACAAATATGTGGCTTGGAGAATAATAAGTGACACTGTGGAGCTAAAATCTCACTCTTGCCCTTTAACACATTGTTATTGTGTTTTATAAAGCCGGCACAGTTTTACAGCTGAATCCCAATTACCTGCTCTTCCTCAGACTCTCAGAACATGTGTCTCAGCACTTAATATGGAATTGCAATGTACTGTATGTCTCTCATTTTAAACAACGGACACCAGAGACTTGAAAGTCAACAATTGTGAATCAAAACTAATTTGAGAGCTAAAATATTACCTGTAATTTTTCACTCCTGCTGTTTTTAAACACAGTCCCAGTTGATAACAGCCTCCAACTCTTTCTCTGTTGAAGATGTTGGCCCCTGTGGGACCGACAGTCAAAACACTGGGATTCAGCTGCAAATTCTCTTTTTGCATTGTTTTGTAATTTGTTCTCTTTTATAATCACAAGAGACACTAATATTTTTGAAAAGCTAATGAAGCTTCAAGAATCTAGCCTGTTGTTGTGCCTTGTTGCGTATTGGCTTCTTCAAATACTGAAGGTTTACATTTATTTCATGGCCTGTACCATAACACACAGTAGTGTTTAAATGTATTAACAGCTCTGCATCAACACTGAATTTATTTATTCGCCTCTCCATTTGGACAACACAATGTTAACCAGAATTATTTTACAAATCTGCCATGTATTTGTATTTCTTTTTATTTATTAGCAGTCTGTGATTTTATTTTTGGTATCAAGTGTAATAAGAAGCCTTACAAGAACTCTGTCCTCAAAGAAGTTGTGGTTCTTGTGTCAGTGTTACAGTAGTAAACCGTTATGTAACCCTTAGTAGAGAACAGAGTGGACATGTGGTCAGCTTCAGCTGTAGTTACATAAAATACGAATCACCAGGAATCTAGCAAACTGGGAAACTCATGAAGCGCGTCAGACGGTTTGAGGCCAGTCTAATCGGGCCTTGTTCTATATTATATATAGAATTTGAATGGATGGTAACAGAAACTGTTTAAAAAACATGTCACACAATATTTAAAATTCCCTGTGGGACTCAATTTAGATAAATGAAATTTAGGACCTACAACCATAGAGCAGTTGAGCATTTGTCCTCGTCTAGCGTTTTACACATCTCCATTGTCACCTCGCTTAAATGTCAAATTCAGGAGGTGGTTGTGATTGTCTTGCTCCTCCTGGGTTTCCACTGCTGTCCTACATGTTTTCACATGCGCTCATAAGGAAGGAATAACTGTGAGGGTGTGTGTCGAGGTGTGATCCCTGCTCATTTAAATCAGTGTGCACCATAGCTTAGTTTGGAAGAAGGCATACAGAACATCAATAAAGTTTTTTTTTCTGTATCTCAAACTCAAAATCACGACTGGCATCGTTTTGTTGCATCTCTTACCCTCTCCCTCACTCCCTGTCGCACCTGCGATAAACGCCACTGATGTGTCTGCAGTCCTATCTCTGGAGAGTTGTTACGTCCTAAGAAGAAACAAAAAGCATGGCCGCTGTGGTGGAGCGAAAAGAGGGGAGATGTGACAAAAACGTAGAGCACATCAACAGCCAATATCGTTACACCTCGGTCCACCGAGTCTGCCTTCATGCTGGATTTGATTAATTTCAGATGAGCTCCCTGGAGGGCTGTTACATTGGAAACGACTCCCTCGCAGCCCTACAGGTGGGACCTCCCATAGGTGCTACTATTTTAATTATCTCCTCCCAAGGCTATCTCCATAGCAGCCTTCTGCCACTCAAGTGTTTAGGCCTGTGACATGTACAGTGAGTACAGGAGCCTCGTTCTCCTTGAGGATCAACAGGACTGCCTAGTATTTTCTTTCAACATGGCCCAGAAGGTTTTTGATTCCTGCAAAATTATGCTTCACGTTGGTGCTAAATTAGATAATAGTTTGAAGGACCTGAATCAAATCATCTTAACTACAGAGGTGGTGTTGATATAATGGAAATGAGTCCTGTATGCTGTGTCGGAGGATTGAAGTGGATTATGTTAAGTGCACTGTGAAGAAGCTTACCTTCCTGATGAAAAATCATAAAAGAGCTCAATGTAATCTAGGTCACAAAGAGTTATCAACACGGAAGTGCTTTAGCCAATCAGAGCGCATGTCCGCAGCGCTGTGACATCAGAGGCGGGACAGCGTTCACTGCTGAGTGGCACTGTGTTAAAATTGTAACTCAGGCAAAAGTAAAAACAATATAACGGTGTCAAATCAGAATGGCAACTATGGAAGCCCATTTACGCCACTGTGAAGAAAAAATAGAGATCCTGTAAGTCATAATAATGAGTTACTATCTCATAAATATGAGTTACTATCTCATAATTATGAGACATTTGAGATTGAAATAACCTTTTCTGCCTCCTGTCCGTGTCTGGAAGCCTCTGAATCTGCTCCAGTATAATTGTAATCTCCACTAATTTATAATTAATTAACTGCATTTCCTCCACTAATGTTGGAAACCGTGTGCTACATCAAGATCGCAGGAAGATCCGGCAAATTTTATACTCCGAAGTCAAACTTTTTATGCTTCATGTGAGCAACTTTCATTGAGAGTTGTAACCAACGCTGTATCCAGTGTTTTTATGTATCTGTGGTTGTACTGGTCTCGCCATGTCTAGAGCTGTGTAGAGGCAATAGAAATGCTTTCAAATCTGAATTGCTATAATGATCTTCTTCTAGTGTCTATGGTGGCATCTGTTAGCCATTAACACAGTGAGAGAACAGTCGTAGGCTCTGGAGGTGTTTCATCACAGTAGATGGATGAAGGTTAAGTGGAAGCCAGGTCTGGCTCGGCCCTTCAACCCTGCAGAACCTTTCTCAGACAGGTTTGCAGTTCCCACTGAGCGTGTGCGTCACCCCTCCGGCCCTGCCATGGTTCAGGATGTAACAACCCCGCCTCTGCCCTGATCAAGCACCCCCCCCCCCCTCACCCCACCCTCACAGCTTGGAGACTGGGCTGACATGGTGTCTATGTGCTGTCTGTCATATTGATGTGAGGTCAGTCCTTTTAGTTAGCATCATCTGCGTAAACAAAGCTACACTTTTTGTGCTTTATATTATTTAGAGTTCAGTTAAAGCAAGCAATCTTGAGTCACATCGGGGTTTCTTATTACATGTGGTGCATCATCAGTTTGCGATTGTTTGACAGTGGAATCTATTTTAAGTGAAATATTGCATTAATAAAAACATCTTAGGTAATTCAGTCTTTTTCAGCATAAAAAATATTATTACATCTGCGTATTTTTATTATTACAATTATAATTGCCGCTAGCTAGAGACCTGATTTAAAACATTTTAAAATTGTAATTAAAAAATATGAATCACTTGATAATTCTAAATGGGCCAAACATAAAGTTCATAATCAAGGACACACAGTACAGCTTTCTGTGATGTATTCCATGTTAGACCCATTTGACCTTGACATATTTTCTCTATAGCTGTCATTTGCAGCCGATACTGTATAATATTGCCATATTTTTCTTTGTCCTTATGAATATATGTATACTGTATATATATACTTTATATATATATTTATCATCTACACCATAGTTATGTCAACCTGCTGCAAACAATGATTGAAAAAGTCTTGAAAAAACATTATTAAACTGCTCAAAAGATGACAACACAGTGCTACCTATCTAGCTTCACTTTTGTGTCATTATGCACCACACCACACATTTGCCCTTTCATTAATTGACAAAGCTATTGTTTTCCTTCCTATTTTTCTCCTGAATCACAAGACACCATGTTAATATTTCATAATCACTGTGCTGGTGTCTTGCTCAAACAACTGTACGTTGAAAGGACTTTAGTTCCTCCGGCTTTGTTGGAAAGGTCTCTCGGTTGTAGTGCGTCACCCAAAACACGTCAACTCTGATGAGGAAAGTAATTTCTGAAAAGCTGAACTTTAAAGCCCCCATCCGCTCAAATATGTTTTCTTTATTTTGTTACTTCTCTGGAATGTTTGAGCTTCACAGAATGACGGATGTGCAGAGTTTGACGCGGGAAGACTGTTTTGAAATTGATCTGATCTTCTTAAATCTGAGTTTAAGACGTGTGGTACGATTTGGAAACACCACGACCAGTTTGGTAGCCAATCATGGTCCAATGGGAAGCTTTCACCAGTGTGATGTGGAAACCTGAAGCCTTCAGCCCACATACATGGATGAGTGAAGCTTTTGAAATTAATAATATTTGCATATTTCATAGATTCTGGGTTTTTTAAGGAGGGTGAAGGAGTGGATGGAATTTCGATAACTTTTTACCAGAACATCATCTGGTGGATGATGCAATTGTTTACCTTTTCCTTGACAAATCTGTTATTAAAGTAACAACAGCTGAAACTGCCTCTGTTTCAAAGCTATTATATTACTAAAAAAAGGGTGACCGGGTTCAAGAGTCAAAGGTCGGAAGCTGTGTCCTGACTCAGTCGTCGCCTCCAGCAATAACTGTCAGTCCTGATGAACTCCCAATCAATAGGTCGGTCCTAACTCCTCTCATACATCACAAGAAGTCATACGAGGTGCTGGAATCACATCTGTCAAGGCCCTCGTATATTCAGAGGCCAACTGCAGCATTGACAGGCCTGTCACTGCGTTATGCACACTCTGTATTACATTTTATATTTATGTTGTGTTGATGAGGGTTGTATGTGTCTTGCGCCGTCTTCCCTGATGAATAGATTTCCTGTTTAGCTCACCAGACACATACCTTGGCTTTGGTTCTGTAAATCTGTGATGTTGGCACAACAGTGCACGTCAGCACTGTTTACATCACAGTGCAACATCTCTGAGTTACTGGCTGCTCAGCGGATATCAATTGAATTTTATTTTCAACGTGATAGTGAATGATTCTTGTCACCACCAGCACAGAAACCAAGCGGCCCTCTTCAGAGAGAGTTGGATCAAAATAGCACCAAGCCGTATTGTGTAATGTATTGTACAGCACAACTACAGAGCTCTCAAATCGATGCGCCTCCCTCACATGCTGCTGAGAGGGCGCACGTTGTGCTAGGTCTTATTTCCAATTTATAGTTCACCACATGTGTGAAGTGGTTTCAGTGAGAGGTGCAGAGACTGAACTGTGGCTGACTGGGAGATGAATGCTTCTCTTTCCAGAAGGAGCAGACAGTCCCTCTGATCAAAAACACTGGACAGTTCACTCATGATGACCTAGTTCTTTATATTTATCTATAAATGTGGGTTTTGCACCTTAAACTTTACTTGACTAATAGCCTTAAGTGAACCAGTTAATTTAAAGCCATTGGTCTTCATTTTTGCAATAAAACGATTACAGGAAAGATGTTAGGAAAAACCTAACATTTATTTGAATATATATTATCCATTCTGGTTTCTGAATGAATAAAATATCTAACATACAGGTTAATGTCAGCGATTATTTCGTGAGTTACATAGATCTATTACAAAACCAAGTGAATATTTTTCTAAGGATGTTTATTTGTACCTTGTGATATAGTTATACCTATTATACATACAAAAAATAATCTAATTACAGGCCCAAAAGATGTATGCCTGCTCTATATGAACATAACCAAATACACAATACATTTACATGGTTATATGCACATACCTGAGCATAACTCAATAATGCAGGTTCTTCTACTCCAAATCCGGATTTGACCCATGAAAAATACAGTACAGCCTATATGTTAAAATGCAAAAATGCAGTATTGATTTAGACTAGCCGATGAATGGCAGTGGTGTTAAGCGCTGTTTGCCTGTGACAAATATTGATGCCCTGCAAAACCAAACGCATCTCTGGAGTCCTATTAGTTTAACAAAACATCTACACCAGTGTCATCCACGCGCACAGGCAGGTCAGTGTCCGAGGTAAAGTAGACACACATTGATTTAAGGCATACAGATGGCCTAAAATAATAACAAAAACGCAGTTAGTGTTGGAGGGGAAACAGTGTTCACCGAGAAAGCGACGTCTCCTCTTTTCCAGAGCAAGATGTCAGTTAATATGTGCAGTTAAGCATCCATAAGAGGCTCTGCGAAATGAGTTCAAAGTGAAGACCTGTGTGTAATCCGACCTGCGGCACTGATTCTGAAAAAAAACATACTCCTTGAAGGGTTGTTTATGTGTGTGAGAGAGGGGGGTTGTGGTGGAAGGGGAATGCGGCCCGATCAGTCTCCTCTCGGACCAGCTCGGCTCTTCGGGGATGTTGAGGGAGCAGTGGCAGCATCTGCAGCCGCCTGGTCGGGGTCGCTTTTGTCACTCGCCCCGTCGCCCAGTCTGTGCGCCTCCATCTCCTCCTCGCCCTCAGCCTCCCCGGTGCTTGGCGGGGTGTCGCGGCTCTCTCCGCTTGGAGACGCGTGCGTCTGCCTCTCCGATGTGTCCGATCTATCGGTGCTCGTGTGGCCGCGGGAAGACGCGTAGAGTCCTTCCTCCTGCTGCGAGTGCGCAATTTCTGCTCCAGAGACGGCCACACTCTCGGCTCTGTCGTCCCATTGAAACGCATGACTGTACGGGGTTGTGACCTGCCTGGTCTGGTTGAGAGACAACACTCCGCTCTGGGTAGAGTTCCACTCTGAGACATTGTTGCTTGTGGAAATGTTAGTTGAGATGTTTGCGGTGGGGGTGACCTCCCCGGGCACTCCTGGCTTCCCCGCAGATGAGGATGCACTGGTTGGCTTCCAGATTAGGCTGTAGTAAATTGCCAGGATAATGGCTGCTAAAGACACGGACAATACATATGCAAAAACAGTGGCTAGTCTCACCCACTTCTTGTTAGTCTTCGCAGCCATCTTAGCCTTTTTGTCCCCCGTATAAGTAGCAGGTTTGCCCCTCTCCATATTGGGCATGAAGTCCCGCTCTCTCATATTGCCCCTATTTTTCCCTCGATGCTCCACCACCCCCTCCGTCTTGAAGGCTTCTTGTTATCCACAATCCAATAGAAGACAGGAAGCAGATTGCTGAGGAGAAGGACCACCTTCAACCGTCCGCACCACAGGAATATCTGGCAGCTAAATTGATTTCTTGTAATTCATTTGTTGCAAACGCGCTGTGCCTAACACTCGGTACCCAGTGCAGCATTGCGTTTCATGATGGACATCAAGCATCCACAGGCTGATTGCGCGTTTCAGCATCCGACAGCGGCGGGACAAATGTCTCCTCTATATGACGTTTCCAGGGAACAGCTGGCTCTAGGCCCCACGGCAAACAGGCTACGCAGTATAAGATTTGATGTATTAAACGATTAAGTGAGATCATACGGTACACAACTGTCTGTCTTATCCAGCAAATGAAGTGGCTGGCTCAGCTAAAAATACAGGAGAGGGGGCGGGCGATGGCTCTTAAAGAAGCAGCAGCTGTGCAGCAGCCCGAGAAGAAACCACAAAAATCACACACACACACACACACACACACGCACACACACACACACACACACACACACACACACACATCATATTCGCATCAGGACGCTTGTGCCGCACATGGAGATGATGTAGTGGGGGTGAACACCAGTCCGAGTGACGCTGCGAAGAGTTTACCTTACAATGTGCGCACCCAAGTTGGAACGATGTCTCTTAGATATGCGCAATGAGCCAATAAGATGTTGCTTAATACAATTCCACCGGAATTTAAGAATTATATAACGCGTATCCAATTCACTGATAAACTTGTAAGCACGACCAACGGCATTTCAGCACAATGGACAGCGCCCGGATTTGTCATTGCGCATGTCTCCTGGGAAGCTGCAGAGGTGAAATAGGTGAAGGACATGCAACAGCATTTGCTGTGCCAAAATTAAAAAAAGTCTTGTTTTCCAGTTGGTAATCAACATAAACTGCAAAAAAACCGTATATTACTTTGGCTCATATCAGCTACATATGTCAACTTAAAATAACCACAAAAAGGTTTTTCAGTTGATTTTACCCTTCATTATTTTCCTGCATCTAACATGCAGCCATTTATAAACACTGGATAATTTTGTGTCATGTTGACAAAAGTAAAATTATGACAAACAGAAGTGTGTTGCAGCAGCCCCACAAGGTGACTGGCTGCAGGTAAAGTGCGTATTTGTACCTGTCATCAAAATAGAGTATTTTCAACAGTGCAGACACTGTTACAGGTGTTTCTGTGGAGAAAGGTGCTTAGTGTGTGACAGGTGAGACAAGCAGTCCTCCCACAGAACCAAATACACACACACATACATGTGTTTATAGGAAGATTGATTGTTTTCATTACCATGTTTTATGGAGGATGATGACGATCAACTGTAATGTGGGGTTTTACAGTATGGCTGCAACATAAAACATTGAAACAATCACACTAGAAATGGAGGGAACAGGATGTAACGCAGTCTTAAGAGCAGACTGTTCTTTTGACTGATGTTCTATGTAAATAATTGTCTGCTTGCAGCTCCACATACAGTATCATATCCTACATTTACAGCTAATTACTTTGAATTGCTTTACTCATCAGCTTATTATTTGATCAAATCATGCCACAACCACCTGTCCAGGGTCATAATGTAGTGTCATTTATTACTGGAACAGGACACTGACTGCTGTTTTAATAAAAGATTTCCCGGTCATTTGGATATCATTCAAATAAACCTTAAGTTCGTGCAATATCTAATGCAATCGTTCAGCCATGTCATTTGATAAACCACCACAGACTCAGTTTATTTAAAATCATGATGTTTTTTTATAATGAAAAAAAAACCCAAGACCAACACACATTTATGCGTCATAATGTAAATAAAAATCAATATGCTGATAGCAAATGGCAACTCAAAATAACTGTGAAAATCACTTATTAAAGGTTCAGTTCTCCCAACAAGAAAAACATTTTCTCACTTATCCCCTGTGGGAACTCGCCAGCTTTTACTTTTGAATATATTTGCCAGGTTTTGAGATGTGTGAGATTTCTGGCTTCACCCCAACACAATGGAGGCAAATTGAATTTTGTGTCTGATACTCACAAAATAATAATTATATATATATATATTATTATTATTATTATAGAAAATAGACGGTTTACAAATCCAACAGAATCACATCTTAACAGAAACAGTGTCTCTGTTACTCAAGCCACAGAGCACAGTGTCAACACTTCTCTGTGGACTAGAAGAGTTGTTTCTTTTAAATAATTTATTATAAGCCTACTGTTTACAATTCTGTAAGCACCACAAACAAAAATCGTCTCAACTCCCTTGCCCTGGGGTGGCTGTAGAAATATCACACACAGACAGCTTACAACTAGAGAAAATACAATTACAGCAATAACATTTATTTGTCTTTGTGAAATTTGGGTGAATTTACCCTTCGATATCATTTCAAGTACTGCTCATTCTAGAGTTCTGATTTGAGGTAGATTGGAAGTGTCACTTTCACCTGTAGTCAAGTTACGTGTTTGTGTTTTTGCAAGCAAAATTTGCAAGTCATATTTCCCGGGGTGTGTCGTGAGTACAGTCAGAGGCTATGCACTAAACTTCCATTCAGTGTATCGTGTGGATTCAGATGGAGGGATCAGCTAATCAATGGTGTTGACCATGGAGGATATATTTTAGTTATAGTTATAGTTATATATATGAGCTGTCACAGAAGGGCAAAATGAATAAGAAAAGACACTTTCTGGAGCCTCCAGCGGTCAAAGACTACCTGGTCAAAGGGGAGAGATTTACCAAGTGGTCAGAGGTGAGTGGATATTTCAATAGTATCTCCGCTGCATCATTAAATACCAGCCAACATGAAATATAAGTACACCTGCAAATCTGTGCAACTCTAGCAGTGCGTTTTTATTTTTCATTGCCTGATGAGAGACATGGAAGTTTATGGAATTAATTATGTTCTGGAAAATATAAGCAGACCTACAGCATTCATTATCCTATTATTATTATCAACATATCAGCATCAAACATCTCTGTTCCAGAGGTTTAAACTCAATATATGTCCAAAAATGTGTGAAAGCTACTTCCCTTGTCTCCATCCAGGACTCCACAAAGACTGTTCCTGTCACCATGAAGATGGATCCGAAAGGTTTTTACGTTTACTGGATCAACCAAAGCAAGGTAATCAATACCGAGATTCGGGAAAAGAAAAACAAATCCCCTGTACTACAAATCAGAGGAGAGGGGAAATGTTGACTCTCATTCAGTGGCTAATATAAATGAAATGGCTTTTTGTGCATCAGACGAACACAACCTGACAGATTAAAGCACATGTTGAATAGAGGTGGTCATGTATGACTCACATCCAGAGTGTAGCTGCATTCCGGTCCAAGCAGCTTGTGGAGATTATTGATTGGTGCTGATGTGGGCTCACCACTGTGCAGCTGAACTGTGATGCACTTGATGTAGAGGACTGCTTTATCTCTCTCTCTCTCTTGCTCTCTCTCTCTCACACACACACACACACAGACACACACCACCGAGGCACCTACTGGTTTCCACCACAGCACAGAACCATTGAAGCCTACATGAAATGTGTGCCTCATGTGTCCGGGCTCAATCATGCTGTTGTTGACTTTAAAGCGTTTGTGGGAATTTTAAATGAAAAAGCATTGTCCTACTTGATGTCTCCAGACATTGCAGTTTAGAAATTCTCCACACAAACACAGCAAATCAAATAGTTTTTGCACCTTGCCAAAGGATGACTTGTATCTCAATCCATATTTGGACTGGTGCCTACATGTTGAATTGAGATGATTCTCTGCTTCTTGTTTCTAGGAGACAACGTTTCTGGATGTTGCCACTGTCAGAGATACCAGAACAGGGAAATATGCAAAACTTCCCAAAGTGAGTACAGTATTATTATTGAATGTAGTACCCTGCTCTCTGGTCCAATTAGGTCAAAGTGGTGTGTTTGTTATGTCAGAATCTCTGCAGGCATGCAAATAGTGTGTCAAGCCCTTAGTTTGGCCAAGAGGCATATTTGCATTGCAAAAACATGCAGTGGACACATGCACCCAGGCTACTCCCCCACTACAGAAACACACGTACACAAAAGTAAACGCACACTGTATCACACACTGAGTCATGATCTGAGATTTCTGTGAGTGAGCTTGCCTGTTTTTTTAGCCCAAATCTGACAGCTGTAGTGCTTTTTCCTCGCTGGCCTCCACAGAGAGTTGCAGTATGCAACCATCGTCATCCCTCACAGAGGGTTCAAAGGTTGAAATCTGAAAACTGTTCCCCTCAGGGTGAGCACAGAGCACGTCTTCCTCTTGGGTCCCTTTGGGCTCCAGTGCTGACCTGCTCTGCACTTCTGAAAGTAGCAGAGAAGTGATCGATTGTAGAGTAGCAGACAGAGGAAGGTAGTAACTAATACACTGGTCTTCTTGCTGCTGTTTGTGTACATGAACGCGTGAATGTGTCTCAGTGTGTGTGTGTGTGTGTGTGTGTGCATATGTTTGCATGCCTTCGTCAGCAAATTTGCATGTGTTGAACAAGCTCCCGGAGAACAAGAGCTGCAAACATGATTTTACTTCTTTAAGTGAACAGATGAATAAATAATCAGCTTAAAAATGGCACCATATATTTTGAATCGACTAATACTAATTGGCTACGAAAACATATTCTGCCATCATTTTGCCTTTCACAGCACACTAAGGTTCGCAACGTGTTCAACATGGACTTCCCAGACAGCAACCATCTCGCCAAAACTCTGACCATCGTCTCAGGACCCGACACAGTGAATCTGACCTACCATAACTTCTTTGCCTCTAAGGACAAAGTGACACAGGTAATGTGTATGCACTGACTGTGTGTGTTATTGGCACTGTGTCCTTTAGCTGTTTACAATCCTCCTACTCTGATTGTTCAAACAAGACCATTAGCCATACAATGAGCCTTTGCTTCCCCCCCAATAAGGCGCCCTCTGTCTCCCCGTTCGTCTTAATTGGACTTTATGTCTCCAATTTCCGGATTTAATCAACTGTAATGCAATTTGTGCTTTGTTCAAATGCAACATATACTCTCATTTCCTGAGGTACTATTATGTGAATGCCCTCTAGTGGTGACTTTGTGTCCTTTTAAAATATACTATAATGACATTTCAAAAACAATGAATGTTGACATTAAATGTAATATCCCGGTTTGTTTTGTAATTAAATGCACATCAGAACTGGGCAAATGACATCCTTGCAATCGCCTACAATGCTGCAAGAAACAATGCGTGCAGACAGGTCTTCCTGGAGAAGATGTAAGTGAACATCGTGTCATCTTTCAGTTCAGCTTGTATTGTTGCTGAGTGAACACGACACCATTTCATTTCTCCTTTTATGACACAGAATCATGTGGTAAAGCTAAGCAATTGTGCTCAATCTTAGATATGCCTGCCTTTCTCTTCACACCAACAAGGACGGCAAGATCCCAGTGAAACAGTAGGTCACAGTTCATGAGAGGATGGCACGCAGAAGTTAGTTTGTACGGTAGATTTCCACATTTCTTACTCAATGTTTTGCTGTGTGTTTTTTTTTCCAGTATTTACAAGATGTTCCCTGCGGATAAGAAGAGGGTGGAAAGTGCCTTAGCGTCAGCACAGCTCCCTAAAGGAAAGGTTAGACTATATAGACATTATGTTGGGTTGCTTGTCTGCTCTGTAAATCCAGCCATCTTTCAAGATTGTTTTACTGCATTTTTTTGTAACCGCTCCCCATAATGTCTTGGTGTTTGTTATGGATTTTGACTTATTTTTTAATAATAAGATACCAATGCGCACATCGTCAAATGTTTGTTATTTTTTAAATCATGTAGATAACAGCTTTTTACTTTTCAGTATGACAACATAAAGCCTGACGTCTTTACTGAGTCTGCCTTCAAGACCTTTCTGTCATACCTCTGCCCTCGGCCGGAGCTCTATGAGATCTTCACTTCTTAGTGAGTCGACCTCTCCCGTGCTTCACTGGTTATCTACTGAAATGACTGGATAACTCTCGAGTTGTCATGTTACATCGTGGAGGTTTTACAAATACACACCTATTGTAACTACTATCATATGTTATTCTAATAATACATTTTATCTTGCATTTAGAGTTTTGTCATGATTTTCTTTATCATCATCATTTTGATCTTTGTGGGAAACCATTTCATCAGACGTCTAAATACTCTTCTAAATGCCTCAGCTAGTTATGAAGCCACAAACTTGCTTTTTTACATTTTCTAATTCGGTAGACCAATGATTCCAATGATTGGCCAGCGAGCCTCCAGTTCATGCTTAGCTACCTGCCGCGGGCTCAGGACGCAGGTGTTGGGCCGTGATTGGCAGGAACAACATTTTGTGCGGCGCTCATCTGATGGTCGCGCCTCACTGTGCCCTGCAGCTCCAACAAACCCACCATGACGAAGGAGAATTTCACCAGGTTCCTCAACGAGAAACAGAGGGACTCTCGGCACAACGAGGAGCTGTTTCCACGTCTGCGACAGGACCAGATCAAGGCTCTGATGGAGAAATATGAACCCTGCTCCTCCAATACAAACAGAAGTGAGATTCACTCATGATAGGTTTGTTGTATGGAGGCTGGATCATCTTGTACTTTTGTTTTTAATACTTCAACGTGTCTTTTTCACCTGCAGATCTGATTTCTCCAGAGGGTTTCTTATTCTTCCTGATGGGGGCCGAGACGTCAGTTGTCATGCAGGACACGCTGGCCAAGAGCCAGGACATGACTCAACCGATACCCCACTACTTTATCAAGTCCTCCCACAACACATACCTGACAGGTCACTCGCACCACTTTGATTTTAGCTCCGACTGCTCATACCTGATCACCTGAGGGTCATTAAGGGGGTATTTTTCTGTCTGCCACTCTGCAGCCGGTCAGTTCTCAGGCGTGTCCTCTCCAGAGATGTACCGTCAGTGTCTGCTGTCTGGCTGCCGCTGTTTGGAGCTGGACTGCTGGAAGGGCAAACCTCCAGATGAAGAGCCCATCATTACTCACGGCTTCACCATGACAACTGAGATACTCTTCAAGGTGGTGAAACATAGTTTTGGGCATTCCATTGGTGGGGTCTCTCTCTCTCTAATCAATAGGGCTGTAAAGGAATACGACTACACTATTCGGATATGAACAGAAAATGTGGTCTGAACAGATTTGTACCTTGTGAACAGAGAGTGAAGCCGTACATCTCACAAGTCTCTCAACTTCACTGTAGACAGGAAGCTGAAAAGCTCAAATTGTCGACCATCTCAGAAGTGCATGCCAAATAGCCAAGAGAGCTATTCAGATTTTTTGTCAATATCTTTCTTTTCTTTTTTTCCCATTCATACTTAAAACCAACTTTATTTTTGTCCGTACCTCCTCTTTGCATGCACATCCTCCTCTAAAGAAAGTACATTTGTGCAATATACATTGTAGGCCAGTTAGCTTTAAAGGTCGTTTTTTCTTCTACACCTTTTACATTTATATCATCGACTCTTCAAACCAATTTTAGTGTCATCTCATTTTATACACAACACCCACGTTTTTAAGGTAAATCATGCAACATGGCCGTTGGGATAATAAACAGTCAAACATTTATTTAGATTCTTTTTCAAGACGGGTTACACATACAAACTTAATTATTGGATTAATTTAGGTACATGGTTAGAATATTATTATATATTTTGTGGACTTATACACATACCTATAGTAGAATACTATTGAACCCATAAAATGAAGCAGTAAAGATCGTACCAAACTACTTTTGTCCATCCCACTTCCAGTAGTTCCTCTCTGTTGTCTATCATAAATCTTGGGCCTTTTCTAGTTTCCTGTGAGCACAGTTTAAATTGTTTCAATACGACATCTTCATGAATACATTTGCCTGAAGCTGTTCATGACCAAATACTGCCACAGTGTGTCTATAAATTAAACTAAAGCCTTTAAATTCACGGATTACCTTTTATTCATATCCAGGGGCACATTAAAGAGTAAAAGAGTGTTAATCGTACACAGTAACACTGAAACACACACACACACACACACACAGGCAGGCAAGCCCGTCATCCTCTCACTTTCAACACTTCCATTTAAGGGCAGCCGGAGCTCCACAGTCTCAGTGTCCCGGACACAACACCTCAGTTCAGTTTACTGTCAGCCGCCTCTAGATGTGATAGGGTTGGAGCTGACTTCAGTGCTTCTCCATGGAAGCAATAGCTGTGCAGTTTGTCATGTTTTCGCTCTTCATGTCTTGTGGAGTATTGTCATTATTGTCTCAGTCTGTTGATCTCATGCTTTTGTGCTACTTCCATGATTTTATTATATCTGTATCCATGTTTTTTGGTGTTTGCTGTGTTATCAGCTTATTTTTGCTTCCTGTAGCTCTGTTGCCCATTGAATCTTACTATAATTCAAGTAAAAATATACCACAATGCCTAAAAAACAAAAACGCCTGTCTCTTTTTGATGACAGGATGTGATTGAGGCCATCGCAGAGAGCGCCTTCAAGACCTCACAGTATCCCGTTATCCTCTCATTCGAGAACCACGTCGACTCGTAAGACCTGAGCTTTTACATGAGCTCTTGCCATGTAATGTTATTAACACAATGTAATAATGTCCGGATGCCATTATCACAAATGGAATATTGATGGAACATACTGAGGGTGTAACTGTACCTTTCGTTCTGGCAGTAGCAGCAGACAGTAACAGGTGATACTCCGTTTTGTTCCAGGGTGAAACAGCAGGAGAAGATGGCCAACTACTGCAAAACCATATTTGGTGATGCCCTTCTAACAGATCCGCTGGACAAATACCCTGTGAGTATACCGCTGCACCACAGCTCGCTGTCAAAATAATAGTTAGATAAAGTTTATAAACGGGGTTTTTGCTAAACAGAACACTATGTTTGATAAATTAGATAAAGGAGTATCGTATCGTATGTGTCTGTGTCATGAAGGCAATAAATGGAAAGGTCCTCCTCCTAATCTCTGCTAGACATGACCCTCATAGGCTCCGATACACATCTAACTGACTCATAGCAACAGCCAATGCCTGTTCACCTCCTCTTAGCTGTGTGTGTGTTTGCAGGGGTGTTCGTGTGTTTGTATTCCTGAGTCAAAGAGACGACATGTTTAACTCTCAATTTTATTTACTGACATAATGATCTTTTATTACAACTCTCAGTAATAATGTCTGATTGTTGTCTAATAAAAAGTAAGATGGACTTAACAGTAGTTGTATATCTTAATTTCATTTTGTATGATTTGCCAATATCTTGATAGTTTTGAATAGTCCAAAAATATGTGTGCGCGGTCTCCCACCAGGCCGCAGCCCCTCCAGCACTTGACACGAGGATCTTAATGCACCTTTAAAGCCCCTTCTACACCGACAGGACTATAATTCTCAGCTCTTGAAACAGCAAATCCCTTAATATGATTTTTTTTTTTTGCCAAAAAACTGTTTAACAAGATATGTTTATGTCTTCAGTGAGGCTTTTGGAGATAATGTAGGGAAAAAAAATCTAAAAATGTACCTTCCATATGTGTAATAAAATGTAAACGCCTTCAAAGAAATAGTTCTTCCCTAAAGAGCCACATAAGAAGATTAAAACCATTTCTTCATTTCTTCACATTCCCAAAGACAGTATTGAGGACATGACCTTGATTTGTGCTACAGTGCTGTAGTACTATTGTATTGTGTTGTATAGTTTTAGGATTCTTTCTGTTTGTCTGAACCATGCAGCTGAAGCTGGGCCAGCAGATCCCCAGCCCCTCTGAGCTCATGGGTAAGATCCTCATCAAGAACAAGAAGGGCAGCCATGAAAAGCCGACGCAAACTAAGAAAACCAGCGCAGCAGCAACTGACCAGACCACAACCACCGCTTCACCCACCCAGGACCCAAACTCCACTTCCCAGGATCCTGCCAACCCGGCACCCTGCACCCAGGAGAACCAAGGTGGACTAGAAGATCAACCTCAAGTCAGATCAGATTACATTTCAAAAATAGGCGTGTTTAGTACATTTTTATTATTATTGTTATTTTTATATGTTTATCCAGAGGGGGACGCAGCTGTGGAGGACACTGAGGAACAAGAGGAGACAGAGGAACAGGATGAGGAGAAAATGAAGACGTCAGATGAGGTAGAGTGTGCGGTTACGATGACAGTTTTATTGCCATAAATCATCTGTGGCCAACTAAAACAGCTCAAGCATCAGTTAACTTCCTGTCAATCCCCCACAGGGCACAGCTGGACAAGAAGTCACAGCCTATGAGGCGATGTCGTCCCTGGTCAACTACATCCAGCCCAATAAATTCATGTCTTTTGACAACGCCAGAAGTATGTCTTTGCTGCGTAGATTTAACACAAACTCTGACAAATTTAGATTTTATAACATACTGCACAGGTAAACAAATCAAAGTCAGAGTGAGTTTTTTCAATTCTCTTCTTTCTTCACAGAGAAAAACAAGAGTTACGTCATCTCGTCTTTTGTGGAGACCAGAGGGGAGGCAATGATTTCCAAGACTGCTGTCGAGTTTGTTGAGTATCCTTGAGAAGTGCTGTAGATATAAATATGAAAATGTGGAAAACTGTATTTGATGGGCTGAATTAGATATTTTTAAAATACGTTTTTCTATGCTGCCTCAAGAGTCTCCTGGTTCAGGTAAACTACAGAGATATACAACTTCCTAAACCATATCTCTCAGATACAATAAGAGGCAGATGAGCAGGATTTACCCAAAAGGAACAAGAATGGACTCATCCAACTACAGCCCACAGCCTTTTTGGAATGTAGGCTGCCAGATGGTGGCGCTCAACTACCAGACGATGGGTAGAACTGAACACACAATACACAGATAACCACTTAAAATGTGCTGCACTACACAAGGAGATGGAAACGATCACTGTTTCTCTTTAATCTTCACTTGAGTCTAACATGTTTTAAATGTCATGCTCTGCTATATTTTTAAACCTGATCTTCTATTTTCCACCACAGCATGTCAGTGTTGCACCTCATTGTGCCGTGTTGGGCCTCTGCTGTGCTTTGCATCCCAAATGCTCACTGCTCATCCCTGTGCCGCACAGAGGGGGCATGAATAGGCTGTTTTGTGTCTATTTTCAGATTTCCCCATGCAGCTGAACATGGCTCTTTTTGAATTCAACGGCAGAACTGGCTACATGCTCAAGCACGACGTTCTGCGTCGCAGTGACAAAAAGTTTGACCCTTTCTGTGACAGGATTGACACGGTTGTGGCAAGCACACTGACCATAAAGGCAGGTTCACCGCCTTGTTGTGATTATTCTTCTCTCACTTTAAACATGACTGTGGTGTATAATATCTGTGCAAACTAACATTTTGAAAGTAAAGATATGTCATACTCTAAAGCGGCATCATTTATGGTGTTGCATTGCAGGGAAACTGATGTGATATGTGTATCGCTGGGAGCTGTTTTTGCTTTTCTAAATTGAGCACTTAATTAGCCACAATAGCCTTGGGAAGTCCGTGTTTGTGTGTGGATGAATAGTCAGTAATAATACAAGCTTCCTGCTGAGACTGATATATGGCTCCTGGTATTCAGCAGTCTCTGCTTGAGTAAAAACCTCAGCTATATTTATACCCACTGTGTCCTGAACACGGGTCCACACAACAGCATCCACACTCTCAGCTGCTTCATACATGTATGCTATTATATTATGATTATTCGCCCGCCTCACTAGATCTACTCAGGCCAGTTTCTATCTGACAAGAACGTGAAAACGGGAGTCGAGGTGGAGGTGATTGGGCTGCCGGGAGACCCCAAGAAGAAACATCGCACCAAATGGTCCACCACACCCAACGCCATCAACCCAGTGTGGAATGAGGAGCCTTTTGTTTTTGAGAAGGTGTGTGTCATGTAATCAAACTCAGCCATGAGCTCAGCCATTATAACGCACTGTGTTGCTGCTGCTGTTGGGGGGGTCTTAATATATTTGTTGTTGTCATGATGCATAGATCCTGCTCCCAGAAATGGCCTCTCTAAGAATTGTAGTTCATGAGGAGAACGGTAAATTCTTGGGACACAGGATCATCCCGCTTGATGCCATCCAGTCAGGTCAGTGAAACTGAGAAGAAAAAACAAAACACCACCTCACTTCATGCAACACCACTCAGTCATCCAAAGGCCTCAGGATGTTTGCGGATCAAGAGGATCAGCTGCCTTGTTTTTAATTCACAGAGGTTTGTTTTATGGCCTGCAGGTTTCCATCACATCTGCCTGCGCAGTGAGAGCAACATGCCGCTCACTCTGCCTGCTCTCTTTGTGTACATCGAGGTCAAGGACTACATCCCTGCAGCCTTCGCAGGTGCTTGGATTTTTGCTTTGGGTTTTTGCAAAAAGAAAAAGCTTCTGCTGCAATTGAATTGTTACTCTGACAGTCAAGCTCAGTAGCATTAAGGTTTCTTTGGCATTTCTTTTTGGTAAAAGTGTGAATTAATGACGTATTCGATTCTACCTCAGATTTCACAGATGCCCTTTTCAATCCAACAAAGGGAGCAGAGAAGACCACAAAGGCCCCAAAGGAGGTAACAAAAAGCAGCTAAAGGAAACTTAATTCAGCCGTCATCTACTAAAATCGACACATCAGTAATGTCCTCAGTTCTTCCTTGAATCCTCAACAGCACTAAATTCCCTTCCTGGACGATGACCAGTGTTGTTAGATTGTGATCTTCTTGTCTTTTTTGTGCCCACGCAGTCATCCTCTGACTACATGTCTCCCTATGAGAGGCCTATTGTCGTCCAAAACCCCACAGACAAAACTAAGGAAAGCGAGGCCCCTGCTGCAGGTAATGAAGCTTTCACAGTTCAAAGTTTGATTTTTACATATACTGAGCTTCAATTTTGCTCTTGTGGTAGTTCTTTAGTGCTGAATTAAGAAGCTGTATTTAAACGCTTTCCTCTCAGTAGAAATGGTAGCATCCGAACCTACACCACTAGTTGACACCAATGACCAATCACCAAAGTCTGCTCCAGAGGCAAGGTCAGAAGAAGCTAAAGAAGAGACTGAGAGCAAGTCAGACACTCAACAACCTGCAGCAGAACCTCCTCAAAATCCTGACAACACTGCTGCTGAAGATCCAGCCCCGGACCCAGGAAGCGCCACGCCTGAAACCCTTCCCGAATCTTCTCCTTCACCGGAGGAGGCAGCCCCTGAGAAAGAAGCAGTTCAAGAGCCAGAGGACTCTTCTGAAACTAAAGAGGAGCCGGCGAACGATTCCAGTACAAACCCTAAGCTAGCTTCAGATGATACACCAGACACAGAAGCTGCCAGCGCTGCTGAAGAGCCTGTTGCTGAGGCCTTGCCCTGTCCAGCAAGTGCATTGCCCGAGTCTGCCGTATCAGGTGACTCATCTGAGCCGCCGACATCCAGCGAAGGTAACACCGAAGTGCTTCATGTGCTGCACTCATCACTGTTTCCATTTTATCATTGCACTGTCGGTGTAGAGGAAAATTTAGACCAATTTAGACTTTTTTGTTGTTGAATAAAACTTTCAGAAATGCATATCCACTGCCGACACGAGCAGGAGGATTCTCAAAACAAAACCTTGTGTGTTTATGCTGCAGAGCCTTCAACTGTGACTACTGAAGAACTGACAGAGCACAAGAACTACCTGAAGGTCATCAAGCGCCAGGAGAGAGACATTAAAGAGGGAGAAAAGAAGTATCAGAAAAAAGGAGAGGATCTGATTCAGAAATACTCTGACACGTTCAAGGGCATCAAGAAGAAGGCCTCTGTGAAGAAAAAAGAGTGAGTTGATTTTCTTTTTCCGAGTCAGTTTCTACCTGAAATATGGTGGGAGGAGGGGTTTCATGTAATAAGATCGATCTGTCCAATTGCTTATGTTTAGTCACTCACCAAAGACTGGTCAGTTTCCTACGACGTAGGAGTGAATCCAACAGCGTATTAATACCACACAGTTAGTTCCGTACGTGGAAGGATTATAGCTGTTAGTCAATAAACTCTATTCCCCTTGCATGTGTAAGGGGAGGGGGAAACACGTCTGAATCCAGCGTGAAGACGGAGCGGGTGCAGGAGCAGAAGGAAAGAATGCAGGTTGAGCTGCAAGCTCTGTGGACGGAGGAGTGTGATCAGCTGAAGAAGAGGAAAGAGCAGTGTGCAACAGAGGTGCGCAAAATGCAGGTTTATGTTTAAAACTCCACAAAAAGCTGCATCATTAATAATTCTGTTTCCCCATTTCAAATGAAAGAAAAGACAATTGTGATGGAAAGAAAATCTGTTAATTTACTCTGTTAAAGTACTGTACTTAAAACTGCACTAATCAATATTCTTGTATTAAGAAGGGGTCAATTGACTATGTCTAAAATGAAAGCGATGCTTGGGTTATGTTTTCATGTTGTATTTATATTTTCTTCTGCTAATATTAGATATTTACACAGCTAACAGACATATTTAGCATTACTAAAATGAATTAGCTAGAGGAACACCACGAACGTTAGTTACCAGATTGTGCGAGAGTGTGATGCTGAGACAAAGAAAGAGCTCAAACAAAGTACATTTTCTCCCGATTCGTCTGTCAGGGTCAGAATGTTCGGAAGAAATGTGACTCAAAAAATAGATCCTATATTTACTTCGATGACTATGGAGCGAAATAATCTGTTCACTTTTCCCATCAGAGTTAATAGACTCAGGATCTGCCTCTAGGCTCCTAAGGGGGCGGGGCATCTGCGAAACCCACGCAACACAGACACAGGAAGCTGACTCTCAGTGGGGTGCCTCTGTTCTGAACTGTCTCTGGATCTGTATGACGCTGAAGAGTCAATCAGATGTTTTTTTAAGGGTTGCCACCTCATTAGACTGAGTGTAGATAGACCGCACTGCAGGAGTGCTGTGGAGTGAGGTTAGCATCCCACAGGTCTTGGACCAAGTGTTCTCATTAAACTTAAAGCCAAAGTTCATGCAAATTAACAACAGAGGGCTGAACTTTTGTTTGAAGAGAGACTTTAATCACACACAACACGGACATTGTTATTTAGAGCTACCCAAGTCTCATTTCTAGCTCTATCTTGACTGCGATTGTGCCACTTCTTTCTTATATTGTGACAGAGACTGGCCAAACTGTTGGAGATGGCCACAGAGAGGCACACCATTGAAATGAAGACCCTGGAGAGGTGTGAGCACACATACAACACATTTTGGGATATGCTGTACACACTGAGAGTGCAGAGGGCTTTGCTGAGTCTGTCCAATCTGTGCTTTGAGATTTTGATGTGACACTGTGTGAGTGTGTCATCTGAGGTGAAACATTTGACATTTTGCAAAGACAATACCATCAAATAATGAATAAATAACCTCAATGTGTGTGTCTTCCAATGTCCTTGGCTGGCTTGAGGTGTCCTGGATGTGTATGTGTGTGTTATCCCAAGTCAGCAGCTGGCAGATGGTTATCTCAGGACAAGCATTATCCAACAGGTGTTTAAACAGCAGTCGGGAAACGAAGGCAGCCTTGGTAATCTACCTGCCCACACTGACACTATAGCATCATATTTAAGCCTCTCGTCACTGTAAAGAAAAGGTCACCTCAGAGACACACAGCCCAGCAGCTTAGTTTGAAGGACATTTTTAGAATTTGACTCAAGCAAGAGTCCTCACTTCTTTTGTCTTTTCCTTGGTCTGCAGTGAAACCAAAGAGAATAAGAAGAAGACGCTCCTAAAATGTTCATCCTCAGAGAAAGCAAAGTGAGTTCACAGCATGACCTTGCCTTCAGTCATTTTGTGTGTTTCCATTCATTGCCGCTCCTCTCACTGTGTTACGGCTTCTTGTCCAAAATGAAAAGAAATATAAGAAGACAAATGTGCTTACCCGTCTGCTACATGCCATTACATTAGGTCTGGCTTGATTTGATTCATTTTTAACAGTATGTACAATTTAAAATGATAACTATCCTCTTTTAGGCTGAAAAGGGCAATGAGCACAGAGCTGTTGGATGAGCCGAGTCAGTCTGATGGTGCAGTAAGTAATCTTTTAAATTCATTGAAAGTAGCAAGCTTTTTGAGCATATGTGTACAATTAAAAAAGTAGTTTGTGATTTTTTTGGAAATGTCCTTATTTGCTTTTGGGCCAAGGGTTTGCTGACAAGATTGATACCAATCTCAATGTCTGTGCAGAAAGTATCAAGCTGGAGCTAGCAGCTGGTTAGCTTAGCTTAGCATAAAGACAGGAAACCGGGGGAAACACCTAGTCTGGATCATTCCACAGGTAACAAAATCCACCAAGCAACAAGACAGAATGAGAGTGGTGTCCACCTTTTAATCTAACTCTAGAGAGCGAATAAACATACATCTCAAAATGTCAACCTATTCTTTTAAAGGAAATAGCAAGTCTGAGGCTACACACTCACATGCATCACTGCACATGTACCTTAAACAGTATCCATGTCATAGCTCACACTTAATATCTGGCTTGTTTAACACGTATTAAACCGTGTGACTATGGTTACGAAGAGACAGCAAGCATCTAAAGAATTGACCCAAATGTGGAAGAAATGGGCATGTTACCGCACATTCCTTTCATCTGAACACGTGTTCACATACACCCCCGCGTTTTCTTACAGACACGCACACAATGTTAAACTGTAAGTACACTCACAGACACGTGAGCATGCACACCCATTCACCCGCAAACCACCCACATAGACAAACACACACACATCCTTTTACAGTGAGGAAAGTGCAGTGGGCCCTGACCATAGGCCAGGCTTGTCTATTACTCAGAGGCTGTTTACAGGGAGCAGACTAATCCATGTGTGGCCAATGACTCACTGGGCTCCGCTCTTGTGCCTCTGTTGGCTCATCAAGAGTCAGACCTGTTGTATCTGGGCTAAATACACGGCCATTTCACTTTGCTCCTCTCCGATCGACTTCATCTGGAAAGTAGCAAACCCCACTCACACCTCTGCACTTTAAGGCCCCATTGCAGCTCATTTTGATTTCCTTAATGAGCCTTTGCCCATTTATTACGGCAACTATTTTTAACACAACCCCTAGCTTAATCAGCAAGGCCTCAGTATTGAATAAGGACTGTGTAACCGAGCTGGACAAGTCCAACCTGTTGTGACTTTACTGTGTTGATTGTCTTGCCCAGGTTGCATCCCATTCCTCTCTAGATATACACTCGACAAACATGAGCAGAACTGCTTCTCGACATGCAAGGCGTCTTTATCTCTCACTCACTTGATAACGCATTCACACACACACCTATAGACTCAAACCACAGATTGATCGTGTTTTACAGTAGCCACATGTTGTGACATGCTCTGTTGTACTGTGACAGTCTTCAGATTACACCTCACAGCAAACGGGTCTGATGAAGAAACAGGCTGCTACGCTGGAGGAGATCAAGACACTGACTAATCAGGTAAACACACTGACACCAGGACACACCGAATCACTTAGGAGGTGGTTGACTTGTAACCCTTTTTGAAAAAAGAACTATGGCATCCAGGACCTAAACCAGGACCTAAAAGTATTTTGCAGATTCCTGTTTGTGTTTTCAAGGCATCTGAAGATCTGTGAAGGCTCAGCAAATTAGACCTATGACAGTTTTACCAGTCAGCAAATGTTCAGCAATAAAAAATGGAATGGCTTACTTAAGTGCTGTCTGAAATCATAATACAATTTTCCCTGCATGAATATGGGAAATATAATATTTAATTAGGATTACAGGTAAGAAGCATGTATAAATGATTCAACTGCCTGGACCTGTGCCCTGGGTGTGTCCCCACACGGTGATTAATATGTGATCAAGCAAAGTTCAAACTATACCAGCAACAAATCCCCGCTTTTTTAAATTCATTGTCAACCGTGGCCATCTGTCCACTCAGTGATCATACGTAATGTTTCAGGGTGACACATCCAGTTTTGGCGATGGAGAACGTAGAGACCGAGCTCCCACCGCTGCAAATGACGTCAGACAATGCGTTGCTTTGAATCGGTCAAATGTTGGCAGTTATTATTGAGAAAAGAGGTGTTGGATAGTTTAAACATTGACGCGTGAACGCCAGATGGATGGTGTGTTTTTATGTCTCACCAATAGTATTAGCTTACAAATACAGTTTTTCATATTGAGTGAAGCAGTGGGAGGAATTTAGGAGATTAAGGGACAAATGAGGATAATGTCTTTCTTTCAACATGCAAGCTAATCTTCGCTGTATGTATTTAACATCATTGATCGAGTATTGAGACATTTTCCCTTATTACAGGCACATTGTCTCATTATTAAATATCCTGAAAATAGCTCATCATCACTCTTCAAGCCAGTTCCCTAGCTTGAGGTTAGCAGTGATCTTTATTTTGACTTGTGCCAATGCACAAATCCCCTCCCTCAAGATTTCGACGAGAACCTTGCAGAGAAAAGAACCTGGCAGAGAAAAGAATCAATAAAAATGTCAATGTGTCCTTTCGCCTGTAACCTCTAACTAAGATTTGCTTCATACATGTCTCTTTGTTGGCAGCTCAATCAGGAGGCCCTGAAGGAGCACAATCAGAAACTGAGGTCTCTGCCTGCGGAGGTGAAGGAGGCCGTCAATGTCTGTGTGGGGGCTCACTTTCCCGAACTGGTCGACCAGGCTGGAGACACGAAGGTAGAGGGAGCGGGCTTCTATGGAGACGTCTTCCTGGGTTAGATGTGCCTTTTGATCCCCAGTGTAACGCATCTTTTTTCAACCTGTTACATAACCTATAGTCTGAGCATAACTGTGGAATAGTAGAGGATTAAATTAGCTCTGCGTGAAATATTTGACTTTTAGAGGTGCTAGTCATAGAGAGAGCTATTTGGGGAGTCATTAAGCCATAATGATGTTTTTGTAGATGTCCCGTATACCAAAAGTTTGATCAATTGGAAATTATTTTCTTTCAGCTCTTTCTTTCTGTTGCTTGTCACCCATATAAAAAGCCTAATACGGCGACAAATATTTACCAGATGAAAGGCCATCCCTGAAAGCTTTCGTTTGGTGCCCACAGTCTCCTTTCTGTTCTCTTAATGAGATCAAAAGTAGAAATAAATGTAGCAAGAAAAATGTAGCAGCAAAAATGCTTTAAATGAGTCAGGCTGAATCGAGCCAATGACTCCATCTGTCACGCTTCCGCACATGCTGGCTAATACTCCATGAAGCCACAGCAAAACATTCACTCTGAGATTTAGGTGTTTTGCAGTTGTGAAGAAGGTTTTTAAAAAACCAAAACTGCATTTACTCTTTAGCTGGAACAAAGGTCTGATGACGATGAGAATACTCTACACAACAGGCAGCACCAGTACGTCAATTTCCCCTCTGCATCATTTGTTCTTGTGATGAATAGTTCTTAATAAACTTTACATTGCACTGTACTTACGTGTGTATTACTTTTATTTTTCTGTTTTACTAAATATGTTTACAATCCAGTCTTTTGTCTGGTTTTGATCATATTAGTCACACATGAAACTTACAGAAATCTAGTCACCGATATTTCTAATCTCTGCTTCAGTAAACGTTCAGTATACTATTGTTGTTTATTCTCATATTTGTTCATATTGTGCATGGCAGAGAATTGTCAGAAACCTGAATAAGGTGGTTACATGCCACAGCATCCCATTTTCCACGAGAGCATTCCAGCTAGCATGTCCAGGTGTCTGACACCAGGATGTAATATGTACATGTACAAAATGTAATTGGTATGCACCCAAAACCTGATCATAGGCAGGATGCTAATCTACATGTAATACTTACTGAGAGAAATGTTGTCTTTTTTAGGAATGCCCCGTTCACGTTCACACATTATCCACATTCACACCTGCAGAGCTGCCCTGTGTCACCACAGCCCAAGCTGTTGGGCCTTGCTCAAAAGCACTGGAAATGATGGAAGTGGAGCTGCTCTTTCACTTACATTTTCTGCTGGTCCAGAGATCAAACTTGCAACCTTTCGCTTACAAACATGTTTCTCTCACTTTTTAGACCAGTAAGTGTGTTTCCATCCATTTGTTGTTATGCACATTTTCAATTTGCACATTAAAACCTGACAGAAATATTGCAAAAACGTTTTCAAAAAAGTTGGTGCATCGATAAAAACAAAATTTGACATGGCACCCGATACCTGGCTCCTGACAGAATTAGCTCAACAAACTGTTTATCTCGATGTTCCTCACTTCTAATATTCACATAAGAGCAGTGGATGGGAGCACAAAAGAAGCACAATCTAAAAGACAACTGTGCTATTTGTAATTAGACTATCAGAGTTCAGTGGTTCAATCAGCGGTGGGAAGGTGATGACTGCCAAGGAGCATGCATCTCTCTCTCTCTCTCTCTCTCTCTCTCTCTCTCTCTCTCTCTCTCTCTTTCTGTCTCTCTCTCTCTCTCTGTGCATAGTCTCAAACCTCTACACCAGCCAGAGTAATTTGGCACATTATGGCCCTAATGATTCATAATTGTTATTCATAATACTGCATAATTGCGATGCCTTTTCTCTCTAACTGCTATGAGATCTGTGCTGGCTCAAGTGCTCTTTTAAAAAAAACAGAGCCAAAATTAAGACACGTGGACTGGAGAGAATGCGAACGTGAAAAATTTGGAAAAAAACTGAGAAATGTTCCAACTCTATTTCAGCTCCATATCAAATGACAGAGATCGGGGCAATCTGTCGTATTAATTAGAGCCACTTGTTTCTTCAAGTGTTTACACTCACATGCATGCATTTCTTAATGAACACAGCTTCCCCCTGACTCACTGCCCAAAGCAATCTGTCTGTACTTCTTATTTCCTTTTCGGTGTGACACCCGTCTTCTAAATCAAATGGCATGAATGACATTTAAAAGTGGAAGATCTGGACAAATGACTTCTGGGAGACACAGCTTGTGCCTGAGAGTCCTGCCACCTCATGCACAACACAGATGAACTGTGAGCTTTGGGAGTGTGAAAACCAGTCAGCCCTGAATCACCAGGCTGATAATCTTACATAAGACGAAGACAACTCAGGCAGCTCTGTCTCATACCAGCTGGAGAGGGAAGGCCTGAGCAGGAGCTCTGCCACCAGGCAACACTTGGCTGCTCGCTAACACTGGACGGAGAGCCAATAGAAGGAAGGAAGTGCTCCTGATCACACACACACACACAAAACATTTACCGACCAGAGCAGATGTTAAGATGAAAAACGAGATATTGGTTGCTAGAATTCCCGGTGCATGCATGTTCAGACAGAAATGTTAAATTAAAAAGTGGGGGAAGGTGAAAGTGCAGGATAAAAGAGATAATCTAGCAGAATCCTTGCATAGCGGTTTACATGCAGAAGAAATGCCTTACAGATTAGATTATGGAATGAAACATGAAATGCATGTTTTGGTGTCTGCAAATCTCAAACAACTGTAACTAGTAACTAGTATTTTACCTAAAAGCGGTTTGATCAATTTTGTCTAAATGAATTTATTTAGAGAAAAGATCACAAATGAAAAGCATGAACACTGCTAACACCAGCACATCTGTGCAGTCCATACTGGAAATTGAATGCAAGATTAAAACGACATTAGCAAAGAATATAAGTGGTGTATTTTTGGAGAAGCACAAAGAATGAGGACACTGTAGAGCACATGAGAAGAGTGAGCTACTTTTTCTGTCCTCTTGTTGTTTCCTGTGTGAAGGAGCCGGTCTGACCCACGGGAGGTGGAGACTCATGATCTATAGTCCATCTTGAAGTGGATGCCATCCTAGATGAATATTAAGAACCCACACCACCCACGTACACACCACCTGCTGAAGCTGCACCGTCACAGGCTGCGTGTGTGTGTGTTTGTTTGTGTGTGTATGTGTGTTGGATCACTGTGTGGGCTGCATTCACTTACACTGACTTTAAAGAGATGAAAAGTGATTGCCATGAGAGGAGATTGCAGTGAAATACTGATTCCCTTATACGTGATTCGCATGCATTCTTTCACCATGCTGCAGGAGGTTGTGTTTTGTTCCAGGATACTTTACACCATCCCATTCAAATCATGGTTATGGCATGGGATTAGCAGACTAATGAATATTCCAGGAGGCTCATCTCCCTGCAGTCAGTCACCTTCTCCTGTGTGTCACATGAGCATCGAGGGCCTGTGAGAGGCACCTCAACCTTCTCAGAGATGCAAATTTGAACTTATGTGTGTTGAGGATATGCTTACATTTAGACAAACGCGCATACTCATACAATCACACACACATAGACACCCACATCCTGTAAGCCGGTGGCAGACAGCACTCTCATGGCTACTTGAATTCGTATATACTCCTCAGGCTTTTTTTGAGCTAAAATTCATGCCATCGGGCCAAAGTCGGGTGATTTATTCTGCTCTTGCTCTGGCTCTTTGCACAATTTGGATACTCAGTTGCCTGGTGATATCTCCACTGCTGTCCCAGCCTCTCTGAGGTGAGAGCATCTGTCTCACTGTGAGTTAAAAGGGCCGAGACTCAAGAGTCATATCAGAACCCCGGCAGCTGGCAGCACTGTTATGTAAGTGTAAAGATGCCTGATTTGAACTGTAAATGACTGTACATAATGATCTGCACTGTCCGCCTGTTTCTGCAGTAGTAATCGGTTATGGACATGAATTGATTTGAAACGTTGTTGACTTTATGGCATCAGAGTCAAAAAAGTGCTGTGATTTGATTTTAGAAAAAACAAACATAGGCCTGTATAATAAATCCATTTAATCAGTCATAGGTTTAACAGTTTAAGTCAATGTCAAACGTTTTTATTTGACATTAAAGGCAATCTATAAAAAAAACCTTTTCAAGCACTCAAATCAAATTAAATCTATAGAAAAAGAGCCAAACTATAAAACCTTCATTTACTGGCACACTTTCAGACGAATAGTTCGACCTTCAGGAAAAATCACTTATTGGTTTTGCTTTTCATGTAATGTTACTTGTACTTTTGGAGTATCTTTAAAGAGTCTGTAGTTTTCCTTTTTATTCATCACAAGTATATCGTACTTCGTTACATTTACATAATTGATGATTAGATGCACAGGCTGCAGAGTGCCCATCTGTTGGTTTGGACAGAAAGGGACTTGTTGTAGATGTTGTACTTGTTTTACTTGTGTTAAATTAATTTAAAGTAACAGTACCATTACTTAAGAACAATATTCTAGTACTCTTTCCACCAATAAGGTTTTTCCACAAAGGAAAGTTTCAGGTAACAAAATCACGTCGAGCTGCATGCAGGTTTTAAACTCTATGGTGAGCACAGAAAATGTTTTCCTCTTCAGAAGCTGTGAAAACACTTCAACATCATAGTGTCAAATACTGCACATAAATCATTTTACACAATGAAGGTCAGACATGCAAGGGAAGTAACAATAGGCAAAACACATATTTGCCTGCAGGGACTTGAATAAAGTTTGGAAAGGCATGCAGTTAACCAAACAGCCTTTCCATTCTTCAGTCCATGCACACGGTGGCTTTCTCTGTCTGTTTGAAGCTGTCCAAGAATGGGGGCTGAAGACCTCATGTCAGCTCAAGAATGCTATAATCATCAGTTCATTTTGCCACTTCATTTCTCTGTTTTTTTTGCGTTTCTGCTCCATAGGGCAGCAACTGCAGGAATGCTTGGTGTGGAGCAGATGGAAGGTGAACGCTGAACAGAGCATGTGTTGGAGAGAATGGATAGTGGTGGGCCTCAGGGCCATTAGTTCATTTATAAAGAAATTAAGTTCCTTCGGGGGCGCATGGAGGGTTGCTGTTTACAGAGCTTTGGTCTCTTGAGGTGAGGTTTGACTGATATGGTCTTCCTTTGTCGTAAATGTTGCCATCTGTCACTTTCCGTCAGATTCAGTGCATTAAAACATAGAATTGTGTTAAATATTTTAAATCAATAAAAAGTTGACCACAAAACAAAAAAAGGATTCCTTTTAACTCAAAGTCCACAAAGTGATGGACTGAGGGAACCTGCTATAAGATGCGACAGTGTCAGCAGTCGAGACATCAGGTGAAATGAAACCTGGCATCTGTTATTGTCTTAAAGCCTCCAGGCGCTTTTTTCTGTTTTCTCCTCTGACCCAGCCAAACTTGCCATTTGCTGCTACATCCTTTGCGGCTGTAACTGCGTGGCAGACCTTTACTCCTGGTGCCGCTGAGCGTTACCAATCTCCGCACAATGTGGCCATCAAAGAAATACATTTGTTATCCATTTGTGCAATTTATTGAGCTGTCAGAGGTGAGCGGGCCTGCAAGGCCACAAATAGGGCCTGTCAGGTGGGAGATGGAGAGGGGACTCTCTGGCTCTCCATCTCTTCCGCATCATTGCAGGAAAGGAATTTCCGTCA